ATTGTTTTTTTAATTTATCTCGATATGAAAGTACGTAAATAATTTTTTTTTTTCAGGGAATTCATAAATGTAACAGGGAGATAAAGAAAACAAAGGGCTGTCGATAGAAAGGAACTTATGTTCGGCCTTGTTTTATATTTTATTTTGTCAACTGAAGGAAAACTTACGCCTGACCTGAAGTCAGCAGAACTATTTTAATCGAGGCAGAGATATCAATTTTTTTTCTACGAAATGTTGATCATAAAATAGCGCACATGTCTTATTTTTTATGCCAATTCCGAAATAACATTGTCAAATTATGTTCATAATATAATAAATTTAGTTCATCGTCATTCATCGGATGTCAAGTTTCAAGTAATTTGGGCCATCTGTTTAAGAATTTTTTTTAATCGAAAATCTGCTATCGTCGATTTTAATGTATGCCACATTTGCCTTGTGATGAGGAACTATAACAAACCTTGGTACATTATATTTTCCAGTTATTAAAATGGAATATGTAGAAACATTTTTCCTTTTGCGTGTATTTATGAAGAACTTATACATGTTAATATATATGGTTGATTGCGGAATAAGGTTTAAGTAACAGGTTTTAACGTGATTTCACAAATCTACAACATCTCAAATTGCATCCTTTTCATAGAATATTTAAAATTTTTAAAAGCTTCGAGTCGTAAAAACAATAAAATAACTCCTTTTTTATTATACTTCTTTGAAAACACCTTATTTTCATCAGTTTTCTCGGTCTCTGATTATTTCCGTGCGCTAAATAAAAATATCGAACATATGGCTTTAAAATAGAAATATACAGCAAAGTAAACTAAATGTTGTATTTTAATTCGTAAATGTTTGAATATTTAGATACATTTCTGTAATATTTTTTGACGTTCTTCGGCAACCATGTTGATGGGAATCGGCGCTGATTTACTCACTCTGAAAAGGCACGAAGGATGGCGTTCTTCCAATGTAGCAGAAGAAGAAACTGCAGTTTCACTAAATGAAATCCTGTGCAATAATACGAATTACACAATAAATATAACCATTAATAATAACAATTCAAAGTAAAAACATTATTAGTTGGAGCTATAAACTAATAGTTTGTTAGTTAATTTTCAATATTCTTACTTTACATGGTTTTTTTTAATTCCTATAATTGTTATGAAAATAAAAATGTTCCAAGTTTCCTTCGTATGTCTTTTTTTATGTTAACTAATGCAAAAAACTAAAGGGTCAGAGGAATTTCCGAAATTTTTACGTGATTTTTGACAGACTGTATTTAGGGGAAAAATGGTCGTATCGGGAATTAAAACAAAGCATTTCGAAGCTCTAAGATTCTAGGTTTTAGATCTTTCGGTCGAAATTTTTTAGGAGCTGCAATCCTATAAATAATTTTGGACGGACTTGGAAAAATTTTTTTTAGCTAAGCCATTGCATGAACCAGATAGCTTGTTTATTCAGCTTCAATTTCTTTTTAATAGAAAAGAGAATTGAGGGGCAGTTTCGAAAACTGGAATAAATTTCCTATAACCTGCTGTAGCAACATTACGGAAATTTTTTTCATCTTTTACACGAATTTAAAAAAAACAGGAGAAAAAGGGTATTTTTGATTTTTAGAAAATTGACGGCTAAATTAGAAATATTCACGAAATGACTAATGTTAAGTATGACTTACAAATAAATAAATAAACGAACCATTTCTTTGTTTCAAACAAACTTTTTGAAAAAAAATAAAGGGTCACATTTTTTGAGCTTAAACACATAATGATTATTAAAATGGGATTTTTTTTTTAAGTATTCTCACATTTTTACCGCAAATCACGTTTAAATTGATACAAAAAATTTTTTAAGTTTTTTTCAAAGAAAAAGGGTAGTTTTGAAAAAAACTGTTTTTTAAGTGATTACAGAGTGCACAAACATTAATTACAAATTTGTCTTAAAAAATGGTATGAATCGGGGTCGAAATCTGGTTTGGGTCATGAACTTTAATTTTAATTTAATTAAAAGTTGTTGAACGGAAGCATAGGATGGAAAAGCCGAATCGTGCTAGAAACAATTGGATTTTGTTTTCTTCAAGGTCCGGAAGAAAACAAACAAAAAACTTCAAAAATTTCCGAAAATGTTTCGAACATTTTTTTTTTCAATTTAAACTTTTTGCTGTAAAAATGTGAGAAAACTTCAAAAAAATGTTTTTCCCCATTTTAATCATGATTATAAAGTGTTTAAGCTAAAAAAAGTGACCCTTAATTTTTTTTTGACTGTTTGAAACAAAGAAACTGTTCGCTAGATCGACATGAAACTTCACAGGGTTCTTTTGGATATATCGAACTGCAAAAATCATATTTAACATCATCAGTTCGTGAATATTTCTAATTTAGCCGTCAATTTTCTAAAAAAAAACATAAATTATCAATTTTTTTCTGTTTTTTAAAATTCGTGTAAAAGACGAAAAAAAATTTTTTTCCGAAAAGTTGCGGTAGCATGTTATAGGAAATTTATTTCAGTTTTCGAAACTACCCTTAAAATTATCTGTGCGATAAGCCAAGCAAAAAAAAATTTTACTCGAAAAAAGTCCTATCCGCGAGATTATTGTAAGATTGTCTAAAGGAACATAATACAAGACATCTCTCATCTCGTGAATCAAACAATTTTAATACCTAACTTTTCTATTTAAACATTGTATTTTTTTGCCAGCTATTCATTGCATCTATTTTCAGTGATGTAGCATAAATAGCAACAATTTTATTCAAATTGTTTATAAGCGATAAACACACGGTTTTTTAATGCACAATTTGAGATTGTTAATGTCAAAAAAACGTTGATATGTTTGGTTGAAAATTACCACCTGTACAGAGGCTTAATGTTCATAACTTTTGGAGCCTCCGTTATAAACAAATTGAATTGTGGAATTGTGCGAAAACTATTGCACCTACAGCGCCCATTTTTGGCATACTTTTAAAGTATGATAAAGCCCTCAACTTGTCATAGGTTTTATAAAATTTTAACAATAAATGCGATTGTTATAAACAAATTAAAAAATGGGCACTTCTTGTTTTTTGCAATAACTTTTTTGTTTATTAGCCGATTTTAATTTAACAAGTCTCATTTTGTAGATAATGTTATTCCCTACAAGCTGTCCGAGAGTCACTTTTCGCTAAAATTGATGGTTTTCCCTACAAAGTGAAAAAACTATTTTCCTCACTTATTTGTTTAAATAGAAAAGTTAGCTAATAAAATTTTTTACATGTCTTGTATTATGTTCCTTTGGGCAATTTTACAATAATCTCGCGGATAGGAATTTTTTCGAGTTTCTCTTTTATTTTCGCTAATTTTCCTGGTGTAGCGACCATTTGTCGCAGAGATATCGATGATTGAAGACAAAAGGATCCTTTTCCATTAAAAGTTCGATAATTTGATGAAAAAATATCTAAATTAAAAAAAAAGGAAATAGAAGCTTAATAAACAAGCTATATGGTCCATCAATGGCTTAACTGAAGTCCGTGAAGTCAGAAAAAAAAAATTTTTGTCGTGCTATTTTTTAGAATTGCATGATAACCGTAGCTACTAAAATATTTCGACCGAAAGAATCTTAGAGCTTTAAAATGCTTTTTTTTTAATTCCCGATACGACCATTTTTCTCCTAAATACAGTCTGTCAAAAAGTAATTCTGTAATTTTTTGCATTAGTATAATAAAAATATTGTTATTACGTCCGTGTATTTTTCCGTTCTTGCATGACTTCATACACGTACGGAAAAATCCTTATTTCCAGACTTCTAATTAATTATACTATTTCTGTCTTTTTAATTACTTAGCTGATGTAAACCGAAACAACAGATTTTAATTAAGTCTGGTATGTCCGTTATATGATTATTATTCGTCTAATTAATAGCGAGATTAGTATTTCCTGCGATAATAGTATTAAAACAAAATCCGACAATTTTTCTAGAAGGGATTAAGTACCATTAGAATTTCTCCCTCCAAAAATTGGCTTACATCTCGGTAATGAGAAATCATAGAGACTTACTCAAATTCATCTCGAGCAGATTGTTTTATTCGAAGTCAACTAGATGACCACTTCTGTGAAGCAGAAAACGCTGATCGAAATTTTCAACTATGTTACAAATCCAACCGCTTAAACTGTCTAGAGCCGCAATATGTTCCAAGCGTCCCAAGCCAAAACAGACAATATCCGGAGAGCCAAATGATGTTGCTAGAACATGATAACATTCACGAGACGTTGAAAATTGTATCCCATTTTCGCGTAAACACTGAGAATGCCGCGGCACAAGAACGAGTTGCCTTGCATAAATCTAATAACGAGCGTTCAAATAAAAACGTGGTCAAGTTGGTTCTGAAAATTTGGTCGTAGGGCGTAGCGTATAGCAAATGAACTTAAACGTCATCTGTCAAAGCGCTATATCGCCGCTATCAATTTGAATATTTTCATATTTTCGTTTTAAAAAGCGTTTAAAATGGTGTTTTCTCAAGAACAAAAAGTGTTTATCATAAGAGTCCTACTTTAGAAATGGACGCAAGATTGATGGAATATGGAAGTATTCTATTGAGGAATGTTTCATAGAATTTCAAAATCAATTTCCCGGCGTTGTTGAGTACAAAATTTTTCAAAGTGAGGTTAAGTTGGTCGCTATAAGCTACTCCCTACGTCCAATGTGTCAGAGTCAACTTCTACCACGTTTTTATTTGAACGCTCGTTATAAAAGCTAGATTCCATGATGAGGAAGTCAACAGTTATGAATTGTACAAATCGGGATCAATCCATATACAAGAGCAGTCCCCGAGAATTGACGGAGTCACCACCAAGCGTGATCGAATGTCGACTCTGGTATCTCTGGCCAGTGGGCGTACACTTCCCAACTATATTTGTGCAACTTTAGGTTTAATCAAAGATTTATTCCTGTTTTATCAGACAATATAACATTGTATTTATATATATTCATTCTTTGATTTCTTTTTGTAAAGACGCTACTTCTTTTCCTGTTCCAGCTTCTGGACATGCTGAAATTCTACACGAGATTCGAGATCAGCGACGAATCCGGCGATCCCCTTACAGATCACGACATGACGCAAATCCATTATTCCAACATTACTTCCCTGCAGGTAAATATTTACATCGATTTATGCGGAACAAAGTTTCTATAAATTTCATTTCAGAAAGCGGCTTTTTCCAAGTTTCCAGACTTGAGGAATTTCGCTTTGGCCAACGTAGCCAGTGTCGATACAAGAAAAAGCTTGGAAAAACATTTCGCTCCCCTTACGTAAGCTCTACGTTATAGAATATTCTCGTCGGTCTTTTTAATTTCATGCCTTATTTTAGCCAAGAAAAGCTTAGGCTCATCGCTACCTATTTAAATCTCGTGCCACCTCCAGAGAAAGAGGAAGAATTCAACTGGTGTCGATTAGATGAAATTTTCTTGAGGGAGTTACTGGTTAGTATCTGTTCTAAAAAGCAAATTCGTGTAATAAAGTTCCTTCATAGATTTTTCGTCATGAAAGGCGAGCATCTCAATTGGAAGCCCTGAATGAGATGCCACTGTATCCGACGGAAGACATAATCTGGGACGAAAACGTGGTGCCGACCGCTTATTTTTCCGGGGAAGGTTGCCTGGCACTCCCCAAGCTGAATCTGCAATTTTTGACCCTTCAAGACTACCTCCTGAGGAATTTTAATCTCTTCAGATTAGAGTCCACTTGTGAGTTTGTTTCTTTATCAGTGACAGTTTGCTAACGCCATTGTTTTCAGATGAGATCAGGCAAGATATCGAGGATGCCATAAGCCGACTTTGTCCTTGGTAAGTTGACGTAATAATAGCAGCTTCGTTGAGTTCTAGATCTTATTCATATGCCAGATATCGCAAAATAACATAACATGTTACGTAGGTGTTTTATTTAAACTAGTAATACTTGGAATAAATAAGTAGGTGGTTAAAGTCTAAACTTTTCTCCAATCAGAAACTTCTGCGCTGTGTTTGTTTATTGTATAAATCAATACAGTGTGTCTCATAATTAGCTGCCAACCCTGAACAGGCCAATTCTATGATCAAAACTAAGTAAAAAAGTTCGTATGAACATGGGTCCGGAAATGCTTCCTAAGGGCACAGGGACCCATTGAAGAGGGAGGAATGGAAATCATTTTTTTGCAATATCTCTCAATCGCGTTGTGATAAATGAATGAAATTTGGTATACACAGCTAAATTTTGATGAGCAATTTGATGGACTAATCCATTTATTTCCACAAGGTCCATTGGGGTGGGTACGGGGGGGCCCTTGGTACTTTGCGTGTGTAACTTTTTCATCTTTGACTTTTTAACAAATTGGACAGCAAATTCCGTTTTCCCGAACTGTTTTACGTTAAAAAGGTACTCTTGTTTCAAATCGTTATCTTTAACGGTTTCTGAGAAAATCGCTCTTGAATTAATCCCACTTTGGTCAATTTCATAGTAATTTAAACAAAAAAAATTTTTTTGTTTAAATTTAATCTAATTTTAATAAAAAAATAATAATAAAAAATTAAATTAAATAAAAATTAATCCTTTAAATGGAAAAGAGAGGAAAGGAAAATTATTATTATTATTTTTTGTTTAAATTACTATGAAATTGACCAAAGTGGGATTAATTCAAGAGCGATTTTCTCAGAAACCGTTAAAGATAACGATTTGAAACAAGAGTACCTTTTTAACGTAAAACAGTTCGGGAAAACGGAATTTGCTGTCCAATTTGTTAAAAAGTCAAAGATGAAAAAGTTACACACGCAAAGTACCAAGGGCCCCCCCGTACCCACCCCAATGGACCTTGTGGAAATAAATGGATTAGTCCATCAAATTGCTCATCAAAATTTAGCTGTGTATACCAAATTTCATTCATTTATCACAACGCGATTGAGAGATATTGCAAAAAAATGATTTCCATTCCTCCCTCTTCAATGGATCCCTGTGCCCTTAGGAAGCATTTCCGGACCCATGTTCATATGAACTTTTTTACTTAGTTTTTTTTGTAGAATCGGCCTGTTCAGGGTTGGCAGCTAATTATGAGACACCCTGTATAGTCCAACCAAATTACACTTGGAGAAAAAAAAATTGTTACCTGGACTACTATAAGTGGAAATAGTAAAAGGGCTTATGGTAAACCTAAAAAAAATAAATGCGTGAACAGGGGCGGCGGAGGGTTGATTTGGGGGTTAGAAAAATTGTATCATTGGGATTTCTGGCGAAAGTTGAGGTCAAACAAAAAAGTATCCTATACAAAAGTTGTAGAACTTGTAAAAATCTACAACTTTTGTAGAAGTCACTTTTTAACATGACCTCAAAATTTCCGAGAAAAATGCGAAAAACAGGTTTTATTCTGATTTTTCGTTTTTTATTTCTCATTTCCAAAAATGATTTAATTTTAACGAAACTTGGTGAAAGTATACCTTTTTGTGTCTTAAATAACCACACATTTTTTTAGATAAAAAAATCAAGAAGTTTCTGATTTTCATTTTTTTCGGCCTGAATACTTTTTTTTTCAAAGAAAAATTCTACTTAGAAAAATCATCTTACAGAGTTTTGCCGTTAATCATTTTTTTCGTTTTGACATTTAATTTTTGGTGAAATAAAAAAATCTGTAATCACGGTTCAAAAACATGCTCAAAAATGCAAAAAAAAAAAATAAAAAAATTTTTTCAGTTATTGTTGATAATTTGTTTAAATTAAAAAACATTCAAAAACCGATTACACCATTCAATTCTACGGAAAAAAACTGTGTCTCATTGTTTGACCCAAAACTTTATTTTTGTACAGTATTGCTATAAACATCTAAGTCGAATTACAAATGCACAAATGATAAATTATCTCTGAATTATTTGAGATTTCAACAATACAAAGTATTAACTGCAAAATCTACTGTTGACGCGAAATCCGAAAACCCGAAATTTTGCAAAATCCTTTTATTTTTTTCTGGCTTTATTTGAAAACGAATTTTAAATAAATTGCAATTTTACATTGCCACTTTTTTCTCTCTATCCAATGCCGTCAACATTTTTGCAATCCGACGTTTCGTCTTCGAGGGACCATCATCAGATTAATTTTTTTAAATATGTTGCTGCTATTAATTCTGAATGATATTACTATTGTAATCGCTTAAAAAGGTTTTTACCTATCATTTAAAATTTTTCCTGAGTACGGCTCTGAACGCTTTCAAAATAACTGTATCTATTGGAGGAGAGAGAGAGAGAGAGAGAGGAGAGAATAAAAGTCAATACAATACGAAATATCCAACAATTTTTTTTAATCAATAATTTAAAAAGTTGTACCTAATAAAAAAATAATACGAATTTATGAAATATTTTATTATTTCTAATTAGTATTGCTAATAGTAGTAAAAAAATTGTTGGATATTTTGTGCGGTATTAACTTTTATACTATTATGACTTCATCCAACAGATATTTTGAAAGCGTTCAGAGCCGTACTCAAGAAAAATTTGAAATGATAGCTAAAATAAGCTAAAAACTATTTAAGCTATTATAATACTAATATCCTCTAATTCAGAATTAAAAATTACTAGATTTTGTCATAAAAATAGTAGCGACGTGTTTAAAAAAAATTAACCCGATGATGGCCCCTCGAAGACGAAACGTCGGATTGCAAAAATGTTGACGCCATTGTATAGATCGAGAAAAGTGGCATTATAAATATGTAATTTATTTTAAAATTAGGTATAAAAAAACACAACTTTTTTCTAATCTGAGCCACCCCGTATCTCTTACCGTTTCGTAGTTCCTAATGCTATCCCATCTTTATCTTGGACACACTGTATATCTATGAATTCATCAAAATTTAAAAAAATAAGTACACTAATCGATCCTACGTAAAAAAAAATTATTAATTATTTTATTTATTCACTATTCGACTTGTTTATAGCAATACTGTACAAAAATAAAATTTTGGAAAATGGGACAGTTTTTTTTGTATTTTTTCCGTACAATTGAATGGTGTAATCAGTTGTTGATTTTTTTTCAATTTAAACAAATTATCAACAATTACTAAAAAATGTATTGCTGCGTCATTTTTTTGCATTTTTGAGCATGTTTTTGAACTGTGATTACAGATTTTTTTATTTCACCGAAAAGTATATGTCAAAACGAAAAAATGGTCACCAGCAGAACATTAATTTTTCTAAGTAGAATTTTTCTTTGAAGTAGTGTTACAGACCGAAAAAAATTAATATCTCGGAAACCTTAATTTTTTTATCTAAAAAAAATTATGGTTATTTAAGACACAGATCAGATAAATCACAGAAAGATATACTTTCACCAAGTTTCGTCAAAATTAAATTATTTTTGCGGAAATGAGAAATAAAAACAAAAAATCAGAAAGATCTGTTTTTCGCATTTTCCTCGAAAATTTTGAGGTTATGTTAAAAAGTGACCCCCCTACAAAAGTTGTAGATTTTTGTATAATCTACAACTTTTGTATTAATACTTTTTTGTTTGACCTCAACTTTCACCAGAAATCCTAATGATACAATTTTTCATAACTTTTCAACCTCTCAAATCAACCCTCCGCCGCCCATGCTCGCGCATTTTTTTTTTTTTTCATTTATTATAAGCCCTTTTACCATTTCCACTTATAAAATTCCAGGTAACAATTTTCTTTTTTTTCCTCTAAATGAGTTATTTCGATCGGTCTAATATTATTTACAATGCTTTTAAATTGAAAATGTGCAGATTTTAATGTTGCTGACACAAAATTCCTAAGACTGGAGAAAAGTGCCACAGGCTGGCAACAGTGTTGTAGTGTCCGGGCATGTATGTGCGTGTCATGTGTCATGTGCGTGTCATACCAGAAGATAACCTAACCTTATTATTTTAAACTTTATCATTAATTTTATACATTCTTGATATTAATTCTGGAAATAAGAATAAATCGCAAGGAGCCAGGTCTGGCGGGTGAGGAAGGACAGTAATCTGATTTTTGGCAGATAACTAATTGACAAACTGAGTATGCGGACATATTGTCATGGTGCAAGAACCATAAGGTGTTTCGCCACAACTCTGATCTTTTTTCTTTTTTTGTCTCTTTGTTTGGTCTCTAACCGTTGTAAATCGCCTTGATTGCACACACGGTTCACTGTATCACCTTGAGGCAAGTATTCAAAAGCACAATTCCATTAAAGTCTAAAAAAACAGTGAGCATCACTTTGACATTGAATCGAGACTGACATGCTTTCTTGGGGCTTGGAGATCATTTGCCAGTCCATTGTGATGACTGAAATTGTGTCTCTATGTCGTAACCGTAAACCTAGCTTTCATCTCCCGTTATGTTCCTTTGAATGAATGTTTCATCTTCATTGGGTTGTTCAAGAAGTTGCCGACAAACGTCCACACGACTATCTTTTTGTTGTTCGGTCATCAAACTAGGAATAAATGCAACTCGATGCATGTTAATTTTTTCGGTCAAAATTTCATGACATGACCCAATTAAGATGCTAACCTCTTCTGCAGTTTCTCTGACAGTCAAATCGGCGATTTGCACGCACCAGGTCTTTGACTTTCTGAACACTGGAGCCATCAGTTGAAGTTGAAGACCCTTCTGGTCGAGAATTATCTTCAACTGACCGGCGACCACTTTTAAATCGTGAAAACCATTCGTAACTTTACGTACGAGCCAGGGATCATCTCCGTAAGGTTGTTTCAAAATCTGGAACGTTCCAGAAAATCGTACATTTCAAAAATCGTCATCAATACTTAAACACTGCACTCAAATAACAATATCACGAAAACTAAACGAGATGTCAACAATCCAAGAACATGTGCTTACAGAGGAGGTTATGTGCAACGCGCTGCTGCCAACCGCGTGTCACGAAATATGTCCGTTGGCGCGCAATTCAAAAAATTTATCATTATTATTAACTTTGCGTTAGGAAAGCAGAAGATGGCGGCGTTTACTGGGGCGGATGGGCTAGAATGGCCCAGCCGATCATAAACTTCGCGGTGGTGGAGGTGGCTAAGCCGAATATAGGGGAGAAGAGACCTAGCAGGGTCAGGGCTGACGTGACGGTCAATCTGGCCGTAAGGCCGGAGATTAAGGGGGAATGGGAGAATCTACGGAAACACGACGTCTGCTTTTTGATTACCGTGAAGCCGCCGAATCCTATAGGTGAGTGAATGTCGTTTACGGTTTACTTCTCTTTTTATTTCGGTGTCTAGAGTTAGTGGAATTATTAAATTTCCAGAAACGATAAAACGATTAGTTAAAAGTCCAAGTGGTTGAATGCTCTCGATAATGCTTACATTGTTAAATTTATAGATCCAGATTAGATAATGTTTATTGTAAATACGATATTTATGCCACATGAGTAATATCGATAAGAAATTGATAGTGCTAATCCCATTATCCATGAACGCCTTTGTGAGATATACAGGATGGACTTAAGTACATTTCAGTAGCATAAAGGTTGAAAAACTACTGCCTAAAAGAACCAGTCAAGGACTATTTGTTTCAAACTATTTTTTGCGTAACCAAAAGTCGCACGCTGAAAAAAGCAGACAAATTAAAAATCGTATAATTATTATTATTATTATCTGCTTCATTTTGAAATTGTTTTACCATTTTTGTTATCAATGTTTATTATCTAAAAACCTACCTTTGTATATTTTTATACAAAGTGACCCATTTTTAATTCGACTCTAATAAAAAAATATTTCGAACAAAAGTTATCAGGTTTCGAGGAGGTCAAATTATGGTGACCTTAAATTTGACCTTGAAGTCAATTATGAAGGTCATTTTAAGATCAACCTTCATTTTTTAAATGGAAACTGTAGTATAACAACCCCGGGTTCGATCGAAAAAAAATAAACGTAGTTGTGGCCAAAAATATGTGATCGTCATAAGGAATACCTACGTTGTATACATCCATTTTTAATTGACCGAAAGGCGTTGGCTACTAACTTTAAAAAGGGGAAGTATTGTTTAATTTTATAGAACAAAAGCAGAGTAAATACAACTTTATTATTTACGTACAACAGTCTTCAAATCAAACATGACAAATAGAATGAACAACAGAAACATTAACAACCATTTAACATAAAATGAGAGTGCCAGACTCACCTAGAGCTCCTGTGGAGAAAGAGCATGGCAGAGAAACCCACGATCGTTGCTCTAACTACCCAAACATAAATACAAAACAACCGCTAACAAAAGGCATAAATTAAGATCCTTTGCTAATGATAAATAACACCCGGCTTATTTAATATCTCACTAAATGTCACGTGACTCGAATTAGACATACACACTTCCAAGTAAAACTGAAGAGGTTTGGTGTTAGTTAGCCGGCAAGGCCGGAAAGTACTGGAGTCCGATACGGGAGGCAATCCAGAGTTGAGATTTCGAAAGATCTGTTTATCAATTCTTTTTTGTATTTTAATTATTCTCTTTACAGATTTATTCCTCTCGGTCGAAAATGTTGGTAAATTCAACAAGGCTCTTATATGCGTATGACATAAAGTGAGCACAAGAAATGCTTTATTATTTGTTTTTCGAACAATGTAATCATGACAAAACAAGTTAAATGTGAAACAAAGAAGTTGTTGTTGCAATATCTGGGCAGTCACGCCAATGTATATACATTTTAACATATAATAAATAATGAGCAATCGTTAATAAAAATTGTAACAATTTTACTTTAGAAAAATATATGCCCTTGAACATAAAGCAATGGAAGCTAAACATACAAAGAATTATTATCATGAAACATCTATAACCATCACAATCATACGATTACATAGAACAATTAACAATAAAGTACTTAGAGAATAATTTCCTGCTAATTAATACGGGTTAAACACTTTGATTTTTCACTATTTTGCCACACTGCCCGCCGATCGTCTTACTCCCATCTCCACACTGTTCTCACTTCAACTATTTAGGCTTCCTTCCAGAATTCCCCACCTAAGCGTTTGTTTTTGCGCTTCCTTCTACCAACTGTCAATATTACGTTTTCATTATTGTACAACACCCATGTAACAGGTGACGTCGAAGTTGATACGATAAGTATGGTTTTGTACAAAACCCATCTTTTTTATTGCAGATTCGTATTCTGCGGAAAAAATACGTAACTTTTGTTTGAAGCATTTTTTGAAAATGCTTCGTCCTCTCCAGAGTGTGCAGTACTTTTACTTCTCCATTTTAATTCTCATGCTAATATCTCGAGAAATAAGCCGGATGGTGAAAAATATTTCCAACAAAAGTTGTCGGGTTTCGGAAGGATCAAATTGCTATGATCTTGAAATTAATCTTAAAATCAGCTATCAAGGTCAACTTTGATTTTTTAAATGGAAACCTATATTTTTGTTACAAGAAGACTTCAAGAAAAATGTTTCATACAAAAGTTATGTATTTTTTCCCGCAGAATACGAATCTTAAATAAAAAAAATATGAGTTTCCATTTAAAAAATTAAAGTTGACCTTGATAATTGACTTACGGTCTGGTACATTAAAATGGGACACCTTGAATATCTGATAATCAATAAGTAACTTTGATTGGGGTCATATTTATACAGAGTCTACCTTTCATCTTTAGAATATCGTACGTTTCTTTTCTCAAATATACAGGTTCGGAAAGTCCCCATGGTACATCGGCCGTAACGTGAGAGCGATAAAGTATGTCCGTGCGATAGACAAGGATGGTTACATTGAAGACGTTTCATAATCTGAATAGTCACTGCCATTTCTAACCCGAAACAGGCGATGACTATTCAGATTATGAAACGTCTTCACTGTAGCCATCCTTGTCTATCGCATGGATTTCTTTACTTTACTTTGTCGCTCTCATGTAAAGGCCATGTGGATTTTCCAGCCCTGTAGAACTACATTTCACGTGTAATATTTTTTATTTCATGCGTATCATTTGCGGTTCAATTTTATTGGTTTTTATTTTTACCGTGGATTAATTTTAAAAGATTCCCACCAATTCGGCAGATGAAGTGGCTGAATGCGAAAAAAGACATAGTTACTATATTTTGTTTAGAATTTTTAACTTTTTTAATAAATGTTATAAAGTAGGCCACGGTAAAGGTATCTTCATCTGTCGACGCGACCCTTACACAATTTCTTTCCTTAGGCACGAAGTACAACATCAAAGAACCCTTCATCCCCCAAGTGGGATTACAGTACATCAGGGGTTGCGAAATAGAAGGCATGCTAGACAGTAACGGCAGGGTTATAGAGGACGGTCCCGAACCCAGACCGGTACTACCGGGCGACCAGAGAACCTACCGCGTCTGGTTGGACTGCAACCAATACCGAGACGACATGAACAGCACCAATCAGGGCAAGGAGGACGTTTACGAGAACTTCAACGTCCTGATGCGAAGGAAACCCAAAGAGAACAACTTCAAGGCCGTGCTAGAGACCATAAGGGAGCTGATGAACACGGAATGCGTCGTACCGGAATGGCTGCAGGACATAATTCTGGGTTACGGTGATCCGAGCGCTGCGCATTACACGAAGATGCCGAATCAGATTCCTACGGTGGATTTCAACGACACCTTCATCGACATGGACCATTTGAGGTCGTGCTTTCCGCAGTACGAGATCAAGGTGAAGACCGACGATCCCAAGAAGCTGGTCAGACCTTTCGGGTTGACGTTCGAGGATCTGGGGAAGGAAGGTGAAGAGGACGTAAAGAAGGTTATCGTCGTCGAGCCTCACGTTATTCCCAGGAGAGGGCCTTACCTCTTTAACGAACCAAAGAAGTAAGTATTTTCGCATCCTCACAGGGTGATTTATTAGAATCCAGTAATACTTTAAAGGTTTGTCATGTAAAGGGGTCACCTGTAAAGTTTCAAAACAATCCGAGCACATTTATTAATTAAAAACTGACTTTATTTATTTGTAAAGTGCCGTTCATTTCGTATAGTGTTCCAATATGTTTAGCCTTCGCGCACGCGCACTTGGAAAGCTTTTCTTGTTACGAGCGTCTATTTCTACCTTTGATATCGTGTACAAAAAGACGGTGGCCGCGTTTTTCTCTTATATACCTATATATACAGGGCGATTCAGTCATAATGTCATTAATTTTAACCACGTATTCGGAAGGCTTAATAAAGACAGAAAATCAGAAAAGAAGTTTTTACTCGACTTAAAAATGAAGGAAATCGACCCCTAACTCCCGCTAAGAGGGCGGCCCTGCCAGATGCCCACATGCTCGGAAAATGTTGTAACGTATGTCACGAACAAATCGTTAGCTGAAGCGAACAGCGTTGCCAAGTTCACATTATAATCTGTGGTTCACATTTACTTAATCCGCTTACGGATACATATGTACGAAACCAATAAAATGCAAGTAAATAAAGGATCATGCTGCATTTTATTATAAATCATTTTAATAATTGTACAAACTTAGTGCAAAATGTTTTAACAAGCCTGACTTCTCGAAGTCAACTTCCGTTAAAAGAAAATAAATAAAGCGGAGGTTTGTAGGCACACCGTATTTTATCAAATAAAAAGAGTCGGCACACTAAATACCCGAATATACAAAATATACTACACACGGTTACAAAACCATTCTAAAAATACTGCCCTCAATATCTCCCGCATTTTTCCCGCAAAGTAATGAACATCACATCCTAAAGATGGAGAGGGGATGTGGATTGGAAAGACACAGACACACGAAACCGTTGGTTTAGTCTATTTCCAATTGTTTAAAGTGTCAGTCGTGATGGCTTTGTATACGAATGCCGAATATGTGGATATGGTGATTTTATACGGAGAGTGTGTACAGAACGCAACTCCCGCTGCAATTGAATATCGCAGGCGTTTCCCTGATCGACAGAACTTCCCAAGCCCGCGGACAATTGTACAAGTCTTCGTGAGACGGGTTCTATCATACCGCGCAGAGAACGTGCATGAGACATCGACAAAATGACTTAAATGTGATAGAGGCTGTTTTAAATGTGGTCGAGGAGTAGCGTACAATTTCCACAAGAACAATTTCAAGACGATTGGAGATATCACAAACCAAAGTTTGGCGGATATTGCGCGAGAATTCACTCAACCCGTCCCATTTTCAAAAAATTCAAGCTTTAGAACCAGCTGATTTCCCCAATCGTTTTGAATTTTGCAATTGGTTCCTAAATCGAATTGCAGCAGGACCCAACTTTATTAACAGAGTGCTCTGGACGGATGTATGCTGTTTTACTCAAGCTGGCATTTTAAACAGGTAAAGAACATTATTTTCTCAAAAACAATAAGTACCTACCTAGGTTACACCAAAGTTTACGTTTATTATGTAACTGCATGTTGAATAATAAATAAATACTAAAACTGTATTATTTAACATAATAAATTATAAAACGTGAAAACGTTAATAATATTAAAAGTGATAAATTGTGATAGCCGTACATTCGAAAACAATCGTCCCTATTCATTACATTAAATTTGATAACACGATTTTCCTTTGATAAAAGACCGACAACTTTTTACTCTACATGGAATACGATCCTACTACAGTTCGTATTAGTCTAGGAGCCAGATAGGGTTTCGTGTACTAACTATAAAAATAAACTTTTTACAGCCATTACAACATTTAATTTGTTGATAACAATTAAACTGACCACTTTCAGGCTTTGCGACCAAATTTTTTGGATTCAAGAGGTCAAAATAGTTAAGATAAGTTGTTTGTAGCCGTAGCACTCTGAACGGAACCCTATCTGGCTTCTAGACTATAGAGCACGTGCAAATTTTAGAAGGTTAGTGACCTAGAAACAGGTTAGCCTAGGTCGGAAACAATTACAGAGTTGTTTATTTGTCTCCGTCCGATTGTTTTTTATCTTCTATTACTTACAGTCAATATTTAAATACTACATACATTTCACCCTCTCTTTATAATTTATCTAGTGAGTGTTGTTTTTTATGTCATTATTTCTGTAATGAAATTGAAATGGTTATGAAATGAAATTTAAATTATTTGAGCTGTTGGAGTTCAATATTAAATTTTATTTAAAGTGAAACAGAGCTAATTTCTTTTCAGCCATTTGGTCAGATGAAAACCCACACTCTACTCGTCGGTTTAGCTTTCAGAGGAGATTCGGTGTCAATGTATGGGCAGGAGTATGTGGCGATCTTTTAATTGGGCTAAATTAAAAAATTAACATTATGATGTTAATAAAAACTGATTTTTGGCAAGGCATGCTCAGACCTCCTCGAGGTTCTGGCTGGGCAACAATAACAATTTAATATATTGATTGCATAATTATAAAAAATAAATTATAGCATTTTAAATTATTATTGGCTGATGTGAGTAAACCGTTTATTTATTGTCTTTATATGAGCGAAAATATATAAATATGACAACATTGCATCTAGGGCGCCTTGTTCATATCGTAGCCTGCTGACGTCAACCGGCAACAGCCTGAAAGTAAGTAAGTAATGATTTGAAAATATTTTTTTTCAGCTTAAATATGCATTTAATTTTTTTTTAATCACGCCATCGTATTATACTAATTTTTCTCTATCTGCTCTTAAAATCAATGATATCATGACTGAATCACCCTGTATATAAATCGGTCTGTAAAATAATTAAAAATTGACTGGTAATCATCCATTGTTTCGCGCCTTTTTGTATAGAAATATGATCCACTTCACGCCGACCCAAGTAGAGGCCATCAAATCCGGGATGCAGCCCGGCTTAACGCTGGTGGTGGGTCCCCCNTAAATTAAAATACTAAAACTGTATTATTTAACATAATAAATTATAAAACGTGAAAACGTTAATAATATTAAAAATGATAAATTGTAATAACCGTACATTCGAAAACAACAATCCCTATGCATTACATTAAATTTGATAACACGATTTTCCTTTGATAAAAGACCGACAACTTTTTACTCTACTTTACATGGAATACGATCCTACTACAGTTCGTATTAGTCTAGGAGCCAGATAGAGTTCCGTGTACTAGCTATAAAAATAAACTTTTTACAGCCATTACAACATGTAATTTGTTGATAACAATTAAACTGACCACTTTCAGGCTTTACGACCAAATTTTTTGGATTCAAGAGGTCAAAATAGTTAAGATAAGTTGTTTGTAGCCGTAGCACTCTGAACGGAACCCTATCTGGCTCCTAGACTATAGAGCACGTGCAAATTAGAAGGTTAGCCTAGGTCGGAAACAATTACAGAGTTGTTTATTTGTCTCCGTCCGATTGTTTTTTTATCTTCTATTACTTACAGTCAATATTATCATTATTTCTGAAATGAAATTGAATTGGTTATGAAATAAAATTTAAATTATTTGAGCTGTTGGAGTTTTACAACTTCAATATTAGATTTTATTTAAAATGAAACGGAGCTAATTCCTTTGCAGCCATAATAGTCACATTTAGTGAGATAAAAACCCGCACACTATTCGGTTTAGCTTTCCGAGGCAGGAGTATGTGGCGATCGTTTAATTGGGCTGCATTTCTGTAAACCCGAAGGCTTACAGCAAATTAAAAAATTAACTTTATGATAATAAAAACTGATTTTTGGCAAGACATGCTCAGACCTCCTCGAGGTTGGACAACAATCACAATTTAATATGTTGATTGCATTATTATAAAAAATAATTTATAGCATTTTAAATTATTATTGGCTGACGTGAGCAAACCGTTTATTTATTGTCTTTGTATGAGCGAAAATATATAAATATGGCAACATTGCATCTAGGGCGTCTTGTTCATATCGTAGCCAGCTGACGTCAGCAGGTCAGTAGCAGCCTGAAAAGGGGGTTAAGTAATGATTTGAAAATATTTTGTTTTTTCAGCTTAAATAAGCATTTAATTTTTTTTTAATCACGCCATCGTATACTCATTTTTCTCTATCTGCTCTTAAAATTTAATGATATTATGACTGAATCACCCTGTATATAAATCAGTCTGTATGTAATTAAAACTTGACTGATAATCATCCATTGTTTCGCGTCTTTTTATATAGAAATATGATCCACTTCACGCCGACCCAAGTAGAAGCCATCAAATCCGGGATGCAGCCCGGCTTAACGCTGGTGGTGGGTCCCCCGGGTACAGGCAAAACGGACGTGGCCGTCCAGATCATCTCCAACATATACCACAACTTTCCCAACCAGCGCACCCTCATAGTGACCCACTCGAATCAGGCCCTGAACCAGCTCTTCGACAAAATCGTCGCGCTGGACATCGACGAACGTCACCTGTTGCGTTTGGGGCACGGAGAGGAGGCCCTGGAAACCGAAAAGGATTTCAGTAGGTACGGGAGGGTGAACTACGTCCTCGCCAAACGTCTGGATCTACTGATGGAGGTGGAGAAGCTGCAGAAGTCGATCAACGTCGAGGGGGACGTTGCGTATACGTGCGAGACGGCTGGGTACTTTTATTTGTACCAGATCCTCTCCAGGTGGGAGCATTTCCTCAGCGTTGTCAAGCCGAAGAGCGGAAAGGTGAGGCATATGTCCAATGTATCAGATTTTGGTAAAATTACTCGACTTTTTACGGTTTTCGTAGAATATCTTTAAAAATTGGTTAATGAAGAGCATTACATTTAGGAAAAAAACAATCGTGTAATAGGTTTTTTTTTCGTCCGTATCATTAGCGGTTTTTTTTAATTCTTTGAATTTGGCTGATAAAGTAACACGGGGATTGGTCTACGTAATTGGCACGTGTGCAAGAAGCTGATGCTCCTTATGTGTGCGAATCGTTTCTAGATTTATGTGTGCGATGATTTGGCACAAGGTCGCCGTTTATTGTCTAGTCCTTCTTTGAAACCGTCATAGTATTCTAATCTCATAATTGCGCTATAATTTATAAGTACCGTTTTCTTCAATAATGTGGTTTTTTAATTTTATTCACGTGGGTTCCATTTTTAACAAGATATTAAAGCAGAAAGTCTTCTACTGAGTGGCAATTTTAATGAAAACTATCCTTTTCCCACCCACAGGAAGTGCCCATAAGTGATATATCTAAAGAATTTCCGTTCCACCAATTTTTCGAGAATGCCCCGCAGCCTCTTTTCAAAGGCAAGTCGTTCGAGGAAGACTTGGAAATGGCCGAAAGTTGTTTTAGATATATAGATCACATATTTAAGGAACTTGAAGAGTTTAGAGCGTTTGAACTACTGAGATCTGGCTTAGACAGATCGAAGTACCTACTGGTGAAGGAAGCGAAGATTATCGCGATGACCTGCACTCATGCTGCGTTAAAGCGAAAGGAATTGGTTGAAATAGGTACATTTTTCCGGTAAAATTGAAAAAATTTTTTTTTACTTTCGAACTTCGTCACAGGTTTTAAGTATGACAACATCCTCATGGAGGAGTCCGCTCAGATCCTGGAGATCGAAACCTTCATCCCGCTGCTACTTCAGAATCCCCAGGATGGCTTCAATCGGTTGAAACGTTGGATTATGATAGGAGACCACCACCAGTTACCTCCCGTGATTAAGAACATGGCTTTCCAAAAGTACTCGAATATGGAGCAGAGCTTGTTCACGAGGTTGGTGAGGTTAGGAGTGCCCACGATCGACCTCGACGGGCAAGGACGTGCTAGGCCAAGGTCAGTTTGTTTTCTTTATTTAGCGATTTTTTTCCTAATTTTGAAATAATTTGTTGCAATTGACTAAACTTTTATCGGTTTGAATGTGTTTTACTTACGATTTTCGATATTTGTCCAAGAAATCGACCAATTGGTACATGCATAAATTCTTCTAAATTTTATAACCTGAGGGGTTATTTCTTTATCTATCTATATATCGTTACGACCATTATCATAACGAGTCTGGATTTCAAATGAGTTTACTATTTAATTCTCGAAAGGGAGTTTATAATTATCATTATACTTTAATTAATACGTGGGAACTTAGAAATGTTGTATGTTCAGAGAATGAATTTCAAGCACTTACTCTCTATTGCTTACGTAGAATGTAATCCAGTGGCAGTGGCTGGCTATATAGGGTGACACTGAAGTTGAGAGAAACAAAAGGGAACACCAAAACTTCCAGAAAGGGTTTTAATAACAATAAACAAAACAATCAAACAAAATAACAACACAACGGCTCGAATTAATTATTAATTAATTTATTGACACGCGACAGCGTACCGAGATTCAGGAAATGCGCGCTTCATAGCAAAATTTGGAAAAAACTTTGTCCATTATTAAATTTAATTAATTAGCCCGAGACTCTAATATTAAGTCGACTGCGCAATGTGAAGCCTAAGGAAGAACTGACTTTTTCGAGATCTTTCCCGAATTCGACACCTCGCTTCGACACGCCCATTTCATGGGTCCAGAAGTTCTTATCTTAATGGCGGGAACCCTGAATGTCGGGACGCTTTGGCATAACTATGCCATGTTAATAATTGTCTAATGGACTGAATTTACATTTATATAAATAATTGTGACTTACAAGTAACCCTAGCCTTCCTCTAGCGACTCCGTGTAGCAAATACGGGACGGATTAGTCGATCTCATTTAATCTACTCTTATAGCTTGGAAAATCCGTCAAAAAACCAGCTACTTTATCTGTTACTTTCTTTTCCAATTACTATTAATTTAACAATTTGATTTAATGCTACTCTGGAACCTCTACGCTCTTCTCGTGATTTCGCGCGTTATTAAACATATGGGTTTCTACGCTGGCGCCTCCTAGACGCAACAGATGACTGTCACATGGCCCCGACTCTAAGTGAACTTGTTAAAAAAATATTGCTAAATTTCCCCGAAGGACGACGCTACCTACTTGAAACTCTTAACTTTCGATAATTTGTGTTGACTGAAATATTTAACCGGACGAAATTCGCTGCGCGCGCCGCTCTTGTAGTTCGGGTTTCTCCCGCTAGATGGGTAATATGTAACTCCTCTTGAGTCACTCTGTCAACTGGTGTGGCTTGAGGCGGTTGTAAGGAGACTCTGAGACAGTTTTTTGTGACGACTATTTTGATTTTTTCGATTGTTTAAAATGGTTGATTTTCGAGAACAGCGTGCGGCATTGATATTATGTTTTCTGCCCGGTGAAAGTGCTGTTGATCTCGACTTAAATTCGACAAGAGACTAACTTGCATGAAAAGGAGAAGGGTTATTTAGCCCGGTTTCATCCCTCTTCATTTTTGGCCAAAAAAAGAAAAACTTTTTTTTGTTATTTATATCGATTTCACCCCAAACGGGACCTCACCCCTTCTTCCTAGTCAAAATCAAGGTCAATTAGAGGTCAAATTGAGAAAAAGTGGTCAGTTTGTCTGCATCAGGTCATTTGAGGGTTATTTCAAGGCCAGTTAAAGATCAAATAAAAAAAACAGAAATCGATTACTTTTTTGAAATCTCAGAGTTTGAACCCAAGGTCGACTTATATGGCGATATAGTCCTCCACTACTTTATTTGTGTCGATTAGCTTAATATGAACGGAAGGCAAGGAGGATTGGCAAAGTTTTAGGTCAAGAGGTCACTGATTTGGAACCTTACACGTCGACCTTTGTACAGGTCATTTTTGTATCAAATAAGTAGTTTTTGAGGTAAAAGATCTCTCATTTGCTCATTCAGATCTTCCTAAACCTTGCGTAGCTCTGTTTAAACTCGAATGATTTTGAGAACATATTTTTTGCATCAACAATTTTAGCTTCGATCGAAATCGTCTCTCACTGACCCTACCAGAAGTCCTTGGAAATCAAATCAACCTTGGAATAACTTTGAACCTTTATTAATACTTACGTATAAATGGACCTTGAATTCAAACTCAACGACTATAAGAATGGTAATTGATTCCAGGATTTATTCCATAAATTAACTTTCAAATGACCTTAAAATGACCTGAGACAGATGAACTGACCTCAAATTTGAACTCAGGAACTCCAAATACGTGTATAACAGGCGGTTAGACTTAACTGATTGGCTTTTCTCAACTTGACCTTCAAATGACCTTGAGACGACCTTCAAATAACCTGATGCAGACAAACTGACCTCGGATGGAACTCGGCGACCACAAAATCCTATGTAACATGTGGTTGGTCTTAATTACTCCACTTTTTCTCAATTTGATCTTGAAATGACCTTGAAGCAACCTTAAAATGGTCTGTTCTTCTTTTTTTTTGGCCAAAAATGAAAGGGGACAAAAACCGGCCTAATTGACTCTCCCCCTTTAATTTTTTTCAAGACTGCATAAATGTGTAATTTATAATCGACTAACAGCACTAAAAATAGTTATTTCTTTAATTATAGATGTTTACATTTTGTCACGTGATCAAAACGTGATAAAAAACGGATTGTGACGTCATTTAGTGCGACCAAGAATGCTACCAGCTTCTATATCGACGAGAAAGAACTTTTAATAAAAGCCCCAAATCAAAGTGAATTTGGTTGTTTCTAGACTCTTGTTAATTACGTTACTCATGCTTGTCTCTGTTATTCAACTTTTCGATTCTTGATCGCTCTAAATTTTTTATCTTCTGCGCCAAATTGAGCTAAAATTGGTATTTACCAATTTTTAAAGCTCTTTTGCGTTTGTAAAAGAGCTTTAAGCTGCCAATATTTATCCTTCCAGCATTTGCAACCTCTACAAATGGAGGTACAACAATTTGGGCAACTTGAAACATGTCGAGACTTGGCCCGAATACCAACTGGCGAATCCCGGCTTCGAGTACGATTTCCAAATAATCGACGTCCAGGATCTCAACGGGGTCGGGGAATCTGAACCATCCCCTTACTTTTTCCAGGTGCGTTGTTATATTCGTCAACCTGATTCTGCAATAAAACCATTTAAATTTTAGAATTTAGCCGAGGCGGAATACTGCGTGTCGGTTTTCGCTTTTATGAGACTTATCGGATACCCGGCTAATAAAATCACCATCTTAACCACCTACAACGGTCAGAAACACTTGATCAGGGACGTTATTAACACGCGGTGCGCTAACAATCCCCAAATCGGACGACCCCACAAGGTAACGGTAAAAAAAAAAATGGAAATACTTGGTTGAATTAACCTCTCTATGGGACTTTTAGGTGACGACGGTGGACAAATACCAGGGCCAACAGAACGACTACATACTATTGTCGCTGGTGAGGACCAAAGCGGTGGGGCACTTGAGAGACGTGAGGAGGCTCGTGGTGGCGATGTCTCGCGCTAGGTTGGGATTGTATATTTTCGGGAGGGTTTCGTTGTTCAAGAACTGTTTCGAATTGACGCCGGCATTTGAACAGGTGAGTTATTTGCTTGAGTAATATATTATGGCGTTTCAGATTTTAATAGACCTCGCACTTGCAAAGAAAAAGGGTGATTTGACCTTAAGAAACTCATATATGCTTATTTTCTCAAATTCCATCCCGAGAACTAGATTTTTTTAAACCTTTTTTAGTGATGACACACAAACACGCACCATCACTAAACACCAAAATAAATGATGTATAAGTGTATGCAGGTTCGGAAAGTCCCCATGGTACATCGGCCGTTACTTGAGGGCGATAAAGTAAGTCATAGAAATCCGTGCGATAGAGAAGTATGGCTATAATGAAGGCGTCTTATTGTCACCGCCCTTTTCGCCCTTCCACAAATAAGATCCACTTCCACTTGTAATTCAGCGACCGGTGGTCATCTTTGTTTTCGTCGTTTGCCTTTTCTTTAATAGATGTCACTACTTATACAATTCCGACTCCGGTATTCCGATATGTTAATACAATCCGTTAACAGAGGGCAGCACAAAGCGTGACAAAGAAAACTTTACAGTAGCTAGTAGATACCTCTGTTTCTAAATCTCAGTGGCCTTGTTCCCCTACTGAGAAGTTATTCAAATGGAGTATAGTACTCAGCTGCATTTAGAGTTCATTTAGTTGTTATTTAAGTATACTTTGCCCTCTGTTAATGGATTGTATTAACATATCGGAATTATATAAGTAGTGACATCTATTAAAGAAAAGGCAAACGACGAAAACAAAGATGATCACCAGTCGCTGAATTACAAGTAGAAGTAGATCTTATTTGTGGAAAGGCAAACGGGCGGTGACTTTGAGACGCCTTCATTATGGCCATTCTTCTCTATCGCACGGATTTCTATGACTTACTTTATCGCTCTCACGTAACGACCGATGTACCATGGGGACTTTCCGAACCTGTATAGGTAGTCCAATCAATCTGTCACGGCCTAATGTTAAATATACAAAAATACCATTTGGAAATAGGAATTATGGTGATATAGGAAAAAAATTCTAAGAAAGATAGCGTTTTTTTCCTGTGGTGCATAAAAGGCGAAGTTAACCTAAAAAATTGATAAATGTCAAAAAAAAACGGTTTTTCGCTAATAAAAAAAGAACTTGCAACTCCAATCGAAAAAAGTTAAATGAGAAAGTTGTAGCTATTAAAAAAACCTATCGATTCGTATTTTTAAATATATCGATTGTTATATTACTTTTCGACAAATATCGAAAAAAAAACGTCAAAAATCGACTTTTTTTTGTTTTTGCTGTATGTCTTGCAAATTAAGGTTTTGAAACTTGTTACTTGCTGTAAATGTAGCACTCGGCAAACAAAAAAGTACTTTTTTAAATTCAAAAATGTTAAAAAATTTTCGTTATCGATTTTTCGAAAAAATTTCGAAAATCGGTTTTTCTTGCTCGACGAATAGTCGTAGAGAAACGAATCGGGGCTCATTTTTTTCCTTAAGAATTGTACTTTCATGGTAAAAAAGTGTGATAATTATTAAAATGTTAACAAGAGGTGAGAGAAATTCAGACTAAAGGAAAATTACATTTCTCAAAGGTAATTATGCTTTTGAGGCCGTCGTAAACGTCATTATTTTGGTTTATCTCGTCGAGCTACCCCAGATTAAGTACAAAAGGATTTTTGTACACGGTCTAGAAGTCGAGATAATGAAGATTTTGAAAGTACGAGCGCTTTTGAATGCGTAAATTCAGAAAATATTGATATAAATGAACATCAATCTCTGTAAGAATAGACGCTATAGCACTTCATAGCGGCCTGTGGAATTTTTTCAAAAAATAAAGTTATCTAGACTCCAGAAGGTCGTAGAGCAATTTTTTCTTAAATTCGCGTAAAAATGCCAGTGATCCATTCCTGTAATAGACATTATTGAGAAATGAAAATCGAAAGATATTCCAGAAAACGCGACCAAAAAATTTTCACTTTTTTCAAAATCATCGTTGGACAGTTGAAATTAATAAAATCGTTATCTCTCTTTTTTTACCATGAAAGTACAACTATTAAGGAAAAAAATGAGCCCTGATTCGTTTCTCTGCGACTATTCGTCGAGCAAGAAGAGCCGATTTTCGAGATGACCTTTTTTCGAAAAATCGACAACTCAAACATTTTTTTTATATTTTTTTAATTAACAAAACGCACTTTTTTGCTTACCAACAGCAAGTAACAAGTTTCAAAACCTTAATTTGCAGGAGATACAGCAAAAACAAAAAAAAACGGTTTTTGACGGTTTTTTCGATATATCTCGAAAAGTAATACCTATAGCAATCGATATACATATTTAAAAAAACTAATCGACAGATATTTTTAATAGCTACAACTTTCTCATTTAACTTTTTTCTATTGCATTTCAAGTTTTTTTTTTATTAGCCAAAAACCGTTTTTTTTTTTACTATGAATTTTTTACGTTAACTTCGCCATTTATACGTCACAGAACACTAATTTTCTTAGAATTTTATTTCATTTACATTTACATTTTTTGTTTCCAGGTGGTATTTTTTTTATGAAACATTGCACTATAAAAAAAAATTTCAATTTCAGTAAAATCTAATATTTCTCCTAGACCGATAACTGAGATAAAAAAATAAAAAAATTTATAAAATGAAACTGCGACATATTCGGCCATTCGCCGAATTTGCATTAGCTTTTCGTTTTTTTTACCCTTTTAGCGCCCCGTTGTCATATCATTTCAAGTGTATTGATATTATGTAATTCACAAGCTAAACACAGTGCTTCAAAATTATAATAAATAGGTACTGTTTATTAAAAACCTGAAATAATTTAAAGAAATATTTCAATTCTATCAGTGAAAATAATAATTAATGTGCGATGCTTCGTCCGTGTTGATTTAAAATAAAATAGGCAACTTTAAAATAACATGTTGCAAAGTCATACGAAAGTAATGTTTTTACAAAAAAAATTCCATTACAATGTGCCACTCTGTTAATTTCATTCAGTTGGTTTAAAGAGGTAACAGCAGGCAACACTGATAAGCACATACATACAACCGAATTCAGGAGCTGCCCAGTAACGGCGTAGACAAAAGTTTAAGTATAGTAAATGTTTATTCGTAAATAAAATGAAAACCACTGGGTTTAGGTATAGGGAAACTTTACTTAATTTTAGTGCAGAATGCGAATATGTTAAAAAAATAGGGGTTTCCATTTAAAAATTTCGAGTTTTTCACATTTTCTGAACTTCCTATTCGATAATTTTTTTTTGACCACCCTGTATAAAAACTGGAAAATTTTCATGTCAAATTCGATAAATTAGGTCTTCCTCTACAAACTGTCCAATTTGCACAAAAAAAATAAACACTTGATTTTAAATGACCACTCTTGTTTAAACATTTTTATATTTTTTTTTAGTTGACTTCGAGACCAACAGAACTTCATTTGATCATGAACGAGACATACCCCGCTACGAGGCAAAACGGTAATAAATTAGCGACACCAGCGACAGTTATACAGGATGTTGTGCAACTGGCAAATTTTGTTTACAAACACTCATAAATTTAATTTAAATGTCCTGCAATTATTTTAAGATGTGAAAAAATAAAAATACTTTACAATTTGCCTTGTTTTTCTTTTCGAAGAAGGAAGTTTAATAAAAAATCGACCGAAAGAAATAATGCATTTTTATTTAATCTTAAAAAATTGTTTGTACAAATTATGTTTCTTCGGCATTTTGTTGCTTATTGTCGGTGCCACATTCTTCTTCCTTAATTTTTTCGTCTATTTCATTCGAGTCCTCTTTTTCGGTATCTTTTGTACAGTCGTTCTCAAGATTTTCAATTGTTTTATTGTTCGATTTGTCTTCAGTACTATCGTCAATTCTCACGGCATTTTCAGCACCCTTATGAAGCTCACCGGTACATTCCGAGTTACTGGAGTTCTCTGATTCTGAAGTTTTTTGAGTGCCCGAGGAATTTTTATTTTCCTCCGATTCGCCTTCGTCACTTTCCGCATCCGAAGAGCTCAAGTCGTCTTCCAACTCGTCGTCCAACCTAAAACATAAGTATTAATTGTCATAACAATAAGCACCATATAAAGTAACATTTTTTTGTAGCCAAAAACTTTGTAAAATAAAAAAATATTCGTAATGCCGTACCACAACTTTGCTTTCTTTTTCTTCACGACAGGTTTCTTCTCTGTGGCTTTCCTTTTTGAGCTACACGACGCCTCAAGTCCTTGAATAACTGCGTCTTCAACTACCTCGGGGAGCTCCGATCGTTCTTTGTCGTACTGCTCATCCTTAAATTCGTGTCTAGGGGTCTCGCATAATCGTTCCAATTTTTTCTGCTTTCTTTCTTTGGCTTCCTTCTCTCTTTCTGCTTGTTGATTAATCCAATTCTTTAACCTACAAAAAACAAAGTTTAAAAATCTGCATATTTGTAGACAAAAAAGATTTCCAAACTAAAACGTTTCACCATCGTGTAACTAGTAAAAACTTACCGTTGTTCTTCATTTATGTCCCTCAAGCGCCTTCCACTGAGATCTCTGCAAGCTTCTCGGTTTGTTGTTTTTTCGATCTGAGCTCCGATCGCTCGGAGCATAGACCCGAAGCCACCCTTACCCCCAAAAACCCTTGGAACTATATGTACCTTGTTATATTCGAGATCACTGCATTGATCTACTAGCTTTCCGTTGGATAATAAATAATATTCCTCTGGCTCTAGTCCCTAAAATAGTGAAACGTATTAAAAGCGTAAACATAACCTATACTGGTATTTAAACTTACTAATTCTTTCTGTAGAAAACATCTTAATTCTGCAACAGTCGTGTGGTTAAGAAATAACTGGTGCTTGGCGTTGATATAAATCTCCATTTTATGCTTATTGAATACTTAAAGCAAACAAATATCACAATCGCACACAACCGTACAAAATGTTATCATTGATTGCATCTTTCTATTTCTAATCTGTGGATTGACATATGACATAACCTTGAACACGACAGAACATCTAACAAAAGAAGTGTAATCATTTGATCTATGGTGTAAACCCATTGAAATCCTAGAAACAAGGCGATAGTGACGCAACTGGTTGTCAGGTAGTGAACTACAAAATGATAATACAACTTATTTAATTTGTTATTTGTCCTAATTCTACTTAATATTTTTGAATCATGGAGGCTATACAAGGAGCATGAACTCTTTGTAAACAAAAATATCTTACCAAATTAGAGGGCGCTAGAGTCCCATATTCACCAAAATAATGGAGGGGAGATAAAGAAAGCTGCAGTTAGAATTAAAAATCAATCATGCCGTTTTTGTGATGTGTTAAAAGTTTTAAAATAAATAATGTAGGCTACTTTGAATTATATAAATAAATCAATAAATAATAAAAATATGTCGGTGTACAAGGAACACTAGCGACCCTAGTGGTAAAAACTATAAGTAATTTCCACTACTACCTCAGTATAGAAAACAGTAAATTCACTCCCCCTCTTTTGTGGACCACAACCCCACTGGTCTAAAAGTCCTGTAAAGGGACGCAGCAACAAACAACAAACCCAGCTTAGCTTTTAGCTTTTGAGGTACCACTATTTGTGCGTGGTATATGCGTAGTCATTTAAGGCGGCATAAAAAATGAAACTAGGGTCCATTTTTTATAAATAGGTTATAGGCAATGAATTTACTGTTTTCTATACTGTGCTACTACATTGATTTTTGTCAATTTCCCCGAATGAGTTCGTGCTCCTAGTCTAGAATATCTAGTCTTCCTGACCTTAAAATGGCAAGAGTATTACAGCGTTACCAACTTTGTTTTCGTAGATGCCAACTAGCTGTTGCTGAGTAATCACTGATAATATTAACCTGCAGTAGGTTTATTTGAAATACCAGCCACACAATAAATAAGAGACCTACCCTGTTCTTTTTATATACAAAAATATATAAATATACAAATATATGTAGCATAGCGATATAATTTTACAAAAATAGTCGGTAACATTACTTTTATGCAATTTATTTTTAATTTGTGCTAAAACATTGATATTTCAAAATAATAGCGACTCGATAATTTTTCCCCTCATAGAAAATTTCCACTATTTTGATCAATTGTCCGTGACCGAAATCATCATTTCACTTTTCTTGTTCTCTGGGTTCTGAAAGTCTCCAGGGACCGGTTCGTTCTCGTATTCCCCATTAACTAGAGCCGACTGACCGGAGGTTTGCCCGTGCGGCGCAGAGTGCACCAACCGACCAATGAGAGACGACGGTCTGTCCTTTCTCAGCCGCAACCACTCGTGCTGAATCACCCTGTCTAAAGTCAGCCTCTGAGTTAGATCCGGCTCTAACAAATGCCGCACGAGAGATTTGGCACTAGAAGAAAGAGTGTCTCTCACTCTCGACCTAAACACCCAGTTCTTGGTCATTTGATCCTTCAAGAGCTTCCTCAAGTTGGAGTCGTCGAACGGCATGGACGCGTTCAGCATGATGAAGAGGATGATTCCCAGCGACCACACGTCGGAAAGCTTGGGGTTGTAGGGCGTACCATTGACAACCTCTGGGGCTGCGTAAGCGGCAGAACCGCAGTAGGTCTGGCTGAGGATTCTGCGGTTATCGGAATCGACGCAGAACCTGGCGAAGCCGAAATCAGCGAGTTTCACGTTGAATCGTCTGGAGAGAAGGATGTTCTCGCACTTTAGGTCTCTGTGAGCGATGTTTTTGCCGTGGAGGTAGTGGAGACCGCTTGCCATCTGCCGGAACCATACCTTGGCTTGTTGTTCTGGTACCACCCCGTTCTTCTTGATAAAGTCCAATAAATCGCCATTGTCGGCGTATCTGAAACGTCAAAACAGGATTTTTAAAGGAGTTGCCATTTTTGTTTCAACATTTATAAATGCTTTAGTTGAGGATGCTTGATTTTTATACAGGTTCGGAAAGTCCCCATGGTTCATCGTGAGAGCGATAAAGTAAGTCATAGAAATCCGTGCGATAGACAAGGATGGTTACATTGAGGACGTTTCATAATCTGAATAGTTCTAACCCCAAACGGGCGGTGACTATTCAGATTATGAAACGTCTTCACTATACCCATCCTTGTCTATCGCACGGATTTCTTTACTTTACTTTGTCGCTCTCATGTAATAGTCCAAGCATTATAGAGAAATGTTTACAGAAATTATTACCTGGACAAAAAAAATATGACCGTTTCTTGTTCTTTAAACTCGATCCAATATGGCGAACTTGGTTAAAAAAAATCGCAAAGTTGAAAAAAACGGTTTTTCTAAAATAACTAAAAAAATATAGCATGGATTGAAAAATTTTAAATGAGAAAGTTGTAGGTTTTAAAAAGATCTATCGACTGATTTTTTGAAAGTATCGATTGCTTTGTTACTTTTCGAGATATATCGAAAAAACCATTAAAAATTTTCTCTTTTCTCTTCTTCTATAACTTGTTTACATTTACGTGCCCATATTTGCTATTTACTGCAAGCATAGACCGCGGCATGCCAAAAAAGTACATTTTTGAAAAATTTAAAAATATTAATTATTTTTCGAGATATATCGATTTTTTGAAAAAAAAGGCTCTCTCGAAAATTGGCTAGATCTTCTCAGCGGATAGCCCTACAGTAACGATTTTCGGTTTATTTTCTTCGTAAAGAGTTATATTATCATGCTGTTAAAAAATGTTGACGATTTTATTAATTTTAAGGATCAAAAAATGACTGAAAATGTTGCACTTTTTTGGGTATGTTTTTTTCAAATTACTATTTCAATTTTTATTTTATGAAAATGAATTTTAAAGAAAGAAAACTAAACATTTACGGGTCTATTTTGCTTCTAAGGCGAAAAATGCTATAATATTCGTGTTTAGCTACCCCAGATTAACTTCAAAAAAATAATAAAAATTGAAATAGTTATTTGAAAAAACATACCCAAAAAAAGTGCAACTTTTTCAGTCATTTTTTGATCCTTAAAATTAATAAAATCGTCAACATTTTTTTACAGCATGATAATTTAACTCTTTACGAAGAAAATAAACCGAAAATCGTTACTGTTGGGCTATCCGTTGAGAAGATCTAGCCAATTTTCGAGAGCGCATTTTTTTCAAAAAATCGATATATCTCGAAAAATAATAAATATTTTTAAATTTTTCAAAAATGTACTTGTTTGGCTTGTCGCGGGCTATGCTTGCAGTAAATAGCAAATATGGGAACGTAAATGTAAACGAGTTATAGAAGAAGAGAAAAGAGAAGATTTTTAACGGTTTTTTCGATATATCTCGAAAAGTAACAAAGCAATCGATACTTTCAAATAATCAGTAGATAGATCTTTTTCAAACCTACAACTTTCTCATTTAAAATTTTTCAATCCGTGCTATATTTTTTTAGTTATTTTAGAAAAACCGTTTTTTTCAACTTTGCGATTTTTTTTAACCATGTTCGCCATTTTGGATCGAGTTTAAAGAATAAGAAACTCAATTTAAAATTTAATTTTCTATACGGTCATATTTTTTTTGTCCAGGTAATAATTTCTGCAAATTTAACATTAATCCGTGACAGAATGCTTGGACTATAAAGACAGATGGAAAATGTGGATTTTCCAGCCCTGTATACAAGTTATACATATTGGAAAAACGCACAACAAATTAAAGGGCTGATAGAACATCAAAAAGTAGATTCCAATGTATTTTGTTTTTAAGATGAGGCGATAGTCCTATTGTTTTTAAATCAAGCCATGGCTTTATCAAAAGACAGCATAATTCTTTTAAATTTGGCACAAGTCTTTGAGGATGTTATATGAATTAGTGTTGCTAGTTTGCTAGTAACATAACTTTTTAAGGAAGCAGCACTTTGTTAAGGAAACTTGATTTACATCGATATATTTTCACCCAAATATGGTTGGTTCATTTCCGAGCACACTGTATATTACGGTGTAATAACTTTAAGTTTGGGACAGTCGATTACGTTTTTTTTTTTCAAAATCGATGAGATTTCAGCGATTTCAGCAATAGAACTTTTTTATGTAAAATTTTATATTATATGACATACTTCGTAAAAAATGTAACCTCAAAAGAGTTATATGATAAAATGTCACTAAAAAAGGTGATCATCTGCTAGCCATTTATAGCTATTTCTAACAGATGATCGAAAATTAATAATAGTGATCAATTTAGGTCTCTCAAATATAAGATATGATTAAAATTTTATTTTAGAAAACCATCTATTCTGTTCTATCAACCACTGAATTTATGGTATTTTTTCCAAAACACCCTGTATATGAATTATTTTCTGCTTTGCAACCATTTTTTCATAAATGTCATGTTAAAGTTATACATTTTTGGAAATGCTATGTTTCTCATTGGTTTTGGTATCGTAATCGTAAGTAGGTATGTACTTTTGGTGTGTGGTGCTAATATTTCGTTGTAGTTGCTAGTGAGATAGGTATTTGTTTTTTTCTTTTATGTTAGCTTAGTTTAAGTTCCCTTAATTATTACGTTCAGTTTATGCTAAGTTAGAATCGGTTAGAGCAGGTTAAGTATGTATTTTTAACATAGATCTTTAGTTTATAATGTCTATGATTTTTAATAAAAAATTTGCATTATAATTATTATTTATGTCTTTATTTTTTTCAACCATTCTCAGTTTTTTACCTTTAAGTAATAACTTCATTACTGAGATATCGTTTTTCATTTCGAAAATTTGTTATTTTTGATTGACCTAAAGTGTTTACCCCTTTTCTACTAATAACTGCTCACGCTTAACTATAGTATGAGTGTATGAAGCCTCACCTCATAAAAATAAACACCCTAGGTCCTCTTTGCAAGATGCTATGGACTTGGATGATGTGCGGGTTTTCAATTTTGGTCAGAATTTCCAGTTCCCTAGGGAAGAACTTTTCTAAAAAATCCTTTGGAGCCTTTTCCTTATCAAAGATTTTGCATGCGAGACGCATCTTCTTGGGACCCGTGCTGTCCACATAGTCGGCCAGATGTACAGTTGCATAAGAGCCCTGGCCGATTTTCTTACCGATAAGGTACCCCCTCTGTTCTAATGCATTTACTTCAGAATTTCGTGGACTCAAGCGAGTCGCCATGTGGTGACGATTCAAGACGTTTGTTCTTTACCCCAGATTTTCCATAAATATCCATCCAGGCCAGCCGGTCGAGTACATTAATCTACTTGAATTTTCCTGTTAACTTCCTTAAAGATGAACATGGATTTTTATTACAAAAATTTGGGGAAATGGCACTTTACTTTGACAGGACAAACTATTTATGCCAGAGTTCACTCGATCTTCGATTAAATTATTTAAAACAACTTTTCAACTGTACCACACCAACATTCTTCAAATTACCTCCGTTTTGGGAGGGTGGTATCAGTCGGGATAATCCCCAAAGTGATAGATGCATCTTAAGCATTAACCCTCGCTTCAGGTTTAATAAGGTAAGAAGTAAACTACAACGTAGTCTTCTACACTACAGCTTGATTTGCGGAAATAAAAAAATTAGCATTTTCTTGAACATTGTGATCGTTTACATTATCTTGTGTCACATATGTATTTGTAAAGCAAAGTAAAACATGCTTTTACATAAAAACCTACTTTAATCTGTTAATCAATACCAAAACATATTATAACTAGACTTTGTAGTAATTTGGATGTTACTAACTGAACAATTTCCAAGCTGGTTGCCACGTCATTCGTTTAGACTCTTGAACTATTTTATAAGTTTCGTGTTAACAAAAAAGCGTACAAATGTAGAGATTTAAAATAAAACCCCTTCCATATCTTTGCGAAAGGGAAGTTTTGGATTTATCAGAAACAATTTCTGAACTGCTGTGGTTCTACAACAGTTTTTGCAACTTATACAAAAAGACCAACAGAAACTTATTGTAAATATCCCTAGAAAACAAACAAATCTATTTTTAAGACTATATTTTCTGAAATTTATCTCAATTTTTACACAGTACAAAATGAGTTTTATTGTCTGTTGAAGGGCTTGTATTCTCTGATGGGTATGCGCATCATGTTGCACTCCCTCGCCACCTTCAGGGCAAAGATGAAGAGGACGGTGCTTTTAAAGATCTCCCAGTAGTACCTATCGTTATAGATCATGTTCAGCAAGTCGAATATCCCACGGGTAGTCTTGAGCGCGTTGTCGGTTATATAATCCGTATCCTCGCTCGACGAAACGTCATCCGGGGGCTTGTTGTCCTCCTGGGAGGAATCCGGCAATTCCGAAGAGGGGTCGTCGGTAAAGTCGTCGTCAGTCATCTCTTTACTGGGCTGGACAATATTTGGACGGACTCAAAAAGGGATTTAACTGCTGGTCAAACATAAATTTACATTATTTATAACTTGAATGTGAATGTTTGAGGATGACGTTGACAGCTGGACTGTGACTAGTTGTTTTGACGAGTCTAGTCTTCAGTTAATAATATTTTATTGTATTGCGGCATTGATCATGACCTAAATCTGAATTAACTTTATAGACCAGTGCTTAAGCCTTCAAAAATAGTAAAAAATGAAACAAAATTATAGTAGGATAAAATCCATTGGAAAAGGAAGAGAATATAACAGAAATGAAAAGAAAAATAATTTACGGGCGATCTGAGGTCGGGAAGGGGAAGGGGGTGAGTTTTTAAGGGTAAAAAACGGTTTATCTTGATTTCCGGAAAAACTACAAGTCTTATGGAAAAAAGTTAAATGGCAAAGTTGTAGGTAATAAAAAGATCTACAACTTTTGTATTTACACTTTTTTCACATAACCTCAAAATTTATGTGAAAAATTCAAATAACCAAGTTTTTGGTTTTTTATTTTTATCTTTTACAAAAAAATTTTTTTTTCACGAAATTTGGTGAAAACTTACCTATTTATGTCCCAAACACGCTGTAATTTTTTTGATTTGAAATATTTATTTTTTCACCTTATTTTTACTTAATATCGAAAAAGCACCCTAATTTTCAATCGAAAATTCTCACGTCAAAATATCTGCTTTTTTAAAAACGTCGGTGGGCTTTTTCTTCGTTGAAATCTCTACTTTCTGATGGTGTAAAAAAAATATACATTACTATGGTAAGTTTTCTCAGGAAATGCAAAGAAACGAAAGAAGATTCTACAACTTTCTCAAAATATTGTAGATGTCTTATTAAATATTAACTTTATTAACTTATTTGGTTGTTAATTATAATAGTATATTTCGACTTGTAATTTTTTTGTTTATCAATGTAACATGGAATCTTACGTTTTTCGAGTAATTAAAGTGTAAATTTTAATAAATAGCTCAAAATTGTACATAATGATTAGAAAAAAATTTTCGGATTCTAGTTCGTTTCTTTGCATTTCCTGAGAAAACTTACCATAGTAATGTATATATTTTTTTACACCATCAGAAAGTAGAGATTTCAACGAAGAAAAAGCCCACCGACGTTTTTAAAAAAGCAGATATTTTGACGTGAGAATTTTCGATTGAAAATTAGGGTGCTTTTTCGATATTAAGTAAAAATAAGGTGAAAAAATAAATATTTCAAATCAAAAAAATTACAGCGTGTTTGGGACATAAATAGGTAAGTTTTCACCAAATTTCGTGAAAAAAAAATTTTTTTGTAAAAGATAAAAATAAAAAACCAAAAACTTGGTTATTTGAATTTTTCACATAAATTTTGAGGTTATGTGAAAAAAGTGTAAATACAAAAGTTGTAGATCTTTTTATTACCTACAACTTTGCCATTTAACTTTTTTCCATAAGACTTGTAGTTTTTCTGGAAATCAAGGGAAACCGTTTTTACCCTTAAAAACTCACCCCCTACCCCTTCCCGACCTCAGATCGCTCGTAAATTATTTTTCCTTTCATTTCTGTTATATTCTCTTTCTTTTCCAGTGGGTTTCATCCTACTATAATTTTTTTTGGTTTCAAAAATTATCGACCCTGGTCTATTACGGATTTCGCGATATAGAAACTTCGTAACGGATTTTTTTTTGTACTTTCTTGGTAATAAAAAAAATTACAGTCGGTAAGTGTGCTGAAGTATGTATTTAGTTATCAGTTTGCATGGAATAATAGCTGCTTGTTCAATCAATTGCAGTTTCAATACACAAAAGGTAGTAATACCTAATATTACTCAACGACAAAGTGCAGAGACGGAATTAAGAATTTACTTACCAGAAATTGCCCGTTGCTTAAAAATTATTGTATTAACAACTTTGTGACTGTATAACTTCGTGGTTACATTTCCCTATAGAGGTAAGCAATGTTTTACATTTGATCATTGCGATGGAATCTAATTTTTGTCTTAAAAATGTTTCCTCTCTAATAACACAGCCCCACAAAAAAAAAGTGGCAGGTCCGAAAGACAAAACCATGGTATCCATATGGTTTTGGGCTCGCTGAATCCGAATCCGGTGTCCGTTTGACACGATTAGCTCTGGTTTAAGGTCAGTTCAAGGTCAAATGTAGGAAATCAATTGTCAACAAACTAAACCTATGTATCTATTAGTCCAGACGGTAATTGTTTCAAGAAGCCATATTTGGGTGAATCGTATATCCACGGAGAAATGAAAATTTTTCTATGCGCATAAAAAACGTGGGCTTAACTTTTGGCGGTACAATATGTTAAAAAAATTGGAAAAATTTTTCTTCCTATTTAATTATGTATCTTTTTGTTGTTGATTTTAGTCGAAAATGGAAGAGGAAAAAAATGTTTGTAATTAATTTTTTTACAATACATGACTGGTTACAAATCGAATGAATCGTATTATAGACGATTCAATTCCGAGCAGGCCGAAGCGGCCGCGCTCTCTGCTTCCCCCACCACCACCACCACCACCGGTACGATTTTATTGAATTTCTCGCTTGCATAAATAACTTTAAACATGTTTTAAAGTAGGTTGCCAATGAAGAAAAGTATTGTAATCTTAGACCTGGTAAGTACTCGGAATACCAAAGGTATTTTTCGAAAAATTAGCCCGGATGTCCCAGTACATTTAGTGTAAATGACGGCTATAACTACGTAACTAATTGATCAATCGATCTGTTTTTTTTAAGAGAAGCGTCTTTCCAAGAACTTTTAAAACCTGCTTTAAAAAATTTGATTTNCAGTGGCGGCTCGTGAAGGAGGACTCTGGGACTCCGCCCCCCCAGATATTTTCAAACTATAAACTTAAAATAATGTATTTATTTAAATCAATAAGAAATCTAAATAGCATGCATTCAAAATCTCTTGGATGTTAGGTTGGTTGCATAAAGTGCATGTACTCCGTGAACGTAGCTCAGATTAATGCCATCTGTCATCTGTTTGTGAAATAAAAAAACTTGTTATTAGTAATTTAAGTTTAGAGGAAAAAGTCGAATTGAAAAATAACACTGGCGTTGAAAATCCAACGCCAGTGTTGAATTTAGTTGAGGTGCAGACAGAGTGCAAAAAGTGGGCCGGCTTTCGCAAATTTGATAAAAACATTTATGATAAGACCCTGTGGTTGTGTGGTTGTGTGGTTGTGACCAAACAAATAGATTTTTTTGTTTTGTATGTTTATTGTTTGGAGGAGGCGGAGAAAACTGGACGAAATCTGGAGTTTCTGACTTGAAACATTTAGAAATTAAAATTAAGAAACATGAAAATTCTCCTAAACACAAAAATAAGTTGGTGAGNGTTTCAATGTGCGTTAGGTTTATAACATCCATGTTTGAAGTGATTTATCCAACAATATCATTGTAGTAACCTAAGGAAAATTCTTCATCGTTAGAAAAATATTCCTTATTTCTATATTGATAGTAAAAAGCTTCCACTTTTCCGGCTTGCTCTGACAGGCCCAAATCTCGAACATGATTTTTTTTGTGATATTGTTCCTGTCTTTTTCACAACGTGATATGGAATATATTCGTCATCACTAGTATCACTAGCAATATCAGTGATAGTTTCATTGCCACCCAAATTTCTCCCTTCTTTAATATCTTGGTTAAACCTTTCTCTCTGCTGAAACTCAATCAAATTTTTCACTTAGGTTTAAAACCAAAATATTTGTATAAGTATCTTTCGTATGTCGATTGATATTTTTCTATTAGAAAGTATTTAATAGACCTGACATCAGATTCGGATTCGGCGATTCCAAAAACGTATAGATACGTAGGTTTAGTTTGTTGACAATTGATTTTCTACATTTGACCTTGAACTGACCTTAAAACAGATCTGATCGAGTCAAATGAACACCGGATTCGGATTTGGCGACTCCAAAAACGTATAGATACGTAGGTTTAGTTTGTTGACAATTGATTTTCTACATTTGACATTGAACTGACCTTAAACCAGACCTACTCGCGTCAAATGGATACCGGATTCGGATTCAGCGACCCCAAAAACGTATAGATACATGGGTTTAGTTTGTTGACAATTGTTTTTCTATATTTGACCTTGAACTGACCTTAAACCAGAGCTAATAGTGTCAAACGGACACCGGATTCGGATTCAGCGACCCCAAAACCATGGTCTTGTCTTTCGGACCTGCCACTTTTTTTTGTGGGGCTGTGTAATTAAGTACACCCCTGAGCTCCATTAGTCTTTTATGGGGCTATTCAATTTTCTAAGAGCCCCATTAAATGCTTTTATTAGCTGACTAAATCCCCATTACCTCCTAACTAGTTCATTTTCTAAAATGAATTTCGTTTTGGTGTGTCTCCATATCTTCGCAATATTAGTGGTAGCCTCAGCGGGTAAGAACAGCCCATATTAGAAGAGGATTAACGACTGCTTTTGTTTGTTTATAATCATCTTCCTCAGGTACCACTGGCCACGAGACGCGATCGTTGAATTCCAAATGGCAAGAGGTGAACTCAGAAGAATGCGGTCCCATAAAATTCGGACATAGAATAACGGGAGGGAAAGCAGCACATCTGGGTCGATATCCTTGGATGGCCAGGCTGGGTTACGAGAGGGAAGATAAGACGATCAAGTTCAAATGCGGAGGGTCTTTGATCAACCAGAAATACGTCCTCACTGCTGGCCATTGCGTTCACGGTTGGGAAAAGCAATTGTGAGTGCAAGGAAGAGAATGTATCTAAATGATCAGTGCTTTGGTATGATTTCAGGCAAGTCATCCGGCTCGGGGAACATTTTACGAACACCACCGAGGATTGCGAAGATGACATATGCGCTCCTCCCGTACAGGATATAGGCGTAGACAAGTTACTGGTTCATCCGGATTATGACCGCAGCACGATAAAAAACGACATATGTCTCATTCGGCTCGCAGAGGAGGCGGAGTATAACGGTAAGCCGAAAACTCAGAAATTTCCAGAGATCCTCCAAAGTACCAATGATATAAATTAATTTGTTTTTAGAACTATAACAAAAATGTGAAGATATTGACAAATATTATCACAAGGGACACTATAATCTCGACGCCACTGAGTATTTTGAAAATACAATTGAGTGTATTTAATTTCGATTGGTATTTCTAAAAAAAATCTTTCATTCTATCACAAAAACGAGTCATTTTTCAATTGCACAAAAAAATATACATTTTTTTGTTAGAAATACAGTGTTCGACTAAGGTCGTCGAGATACGATATTAGAGAAAGTATAGGCCCCAGAGTTTCGGGAAAAGAATTTTGATTAATAAATCGACCAAGAGAAATCGCTGGAAATAGTTTTCAAGTTCGTAGCTCGGCCGCTAGAGGGCGCAATCTACATACCAACACATAGAGTTGAACTTTTCTCAGGAATGTTTCCTATTCAGGTATATCAAATAGTACAAATATGGATAGCCGCATTCATTGCGCATAACTTTTGTCTTTGACATTTTGTTCTATCTCTCGACAGAAAGGGTGGGGGAAGCTTCCAATGTCTGATCAGAAAAATGCATTTCCTTAAAGATTGGCTTAAAGTAGTTTGAGAAGCTGTGTGAAGTTTGAACTCGAGTAGCTTATTTATAGAAATTTTATGCTTTTTTTGTTGACATTTGACGATGGTTTACGATAGATGTTTAACAATAAATATTTTTTATAGATATTTGCAATGAAAAATGTTTATAAAGGACAATGTTAAAAGTCGGTCCATTCTGAAACTTTCTGTAGCTTATCTTAAATGATTCCAATAGGCTTCGCTACAAAAAGTTCCGGAGTTGGTTGAACAAGGATCGATTTCAAAGAATGTACGTAGAGGCTGAACAAGTTTTACCCGATCTTATGCTGATATTGCCATCTGGACTATTTTCCCCGCAGAATAACAGCCATAGAAGTGTATTTCTATCAAATACAAGCCTATTAGAACCATTTAAGATGGCTACAGAAAGTTCTAGAGTGGGGAGAAATTGACCCATTTTTAACATTGTCCTTTTGTTCCTGCGGCAGACACTGGCTAGGTCTCGGACACTGGTTACTGTACTGGCGATAGATCAGGTGGACGTTCGTTCACAGGCAGGGGCATCTCCGCTGGTGGCTCTGCTACGTGGTCCGGTTTGGTGCGGCACCATTGCCACTTCTCGGTTTTGAATCTCTGGAACTAGGCATCTTCCTATTCTGGCTTTTAAGTATTATAAGTCGTTAGATTTCGTCGAATTCGGAGAACCTGGAACGGCTCGTTCTCCTTTACATCGCGTCGTTGGTAATGTCGACTTCTGCGGCAGAGTGAAACTTTGCAATTCCTGTGACACGTCGTCTTGGGTCTTTTTGTCGACAGCATCGTCTTCTATCGGTGTTGGCTGCTGTGTATGAAGTGGTTTGGGGCTGCTCGGAGCGGTTTCGGGAGCAACGCGACGCCGGGAAATTTTGGAAAGTGATGTGAAATTTTTAGTTTCTACGCCAGGCTCTCTGTATCACCACACTGAGGCTCTGGGTCTTTCGGGACATCGCTAGCTGCAATCGGCTCTGCATGGAATGGAACGGTTTTTGATTGACGTAATATATTGGTTTAGTTTGAAAGATATAAACAAAAAACAGATTTCTTTACTAAAACTAAAACAACGATATGTTCGTATGAACTTTTTTCTTAGTTTTGGAATATACTTTGCCTTAAAACTTTTTTTATGTATACATTTCTAATACCCTGAATTTACCTTCTAGCTTTCGTCAAACCAATTTGCCTCCCGCGTGACGAGATGCTAACCAAGAACTACATTACCAAACCCGTCGAAATTGCGGGATGGGGGGTCGTAAATTCCGACACTCACGAGGAATCCAACACGCTGTTGTGCGTCACCCTTCCAATAAGGGATCTGTGCGCCTGCAGCGATGCCATGCCTGGTCTCCAAATTGACAACAAACAGTTCTGCGTAGGCCTTGAAACCGGTGAAGATTCCTGCACTGGAGACTCCGGTGGACCCATGATGATGATGGAGCGCATAAAGGAAACTAGGAAATATTACGTGCTGGGTAAGTCACTTCTAAACAAGAAAAAAAATTGGATTAAAATTTTAAAATACTAATGTAATGTGGCTAATAACTAACTGTTTTATTTTTAGGTATAGTTTCAGTCGGTAAGAGCTATTGTGGGGAGTCGCCTGCTGTGTACACAAACGTCGTTAAGTACAATGAATGGATTTTGGAAACAATTGCTTCAACTGAACAGCAATACGACGCAGTCACGGAAGTACCCGAGGAAAAAGATAATTAGCCCTTGCACAAATAGGTTATCTCATGAAGAATAGTTCGTAATCACGTATTATCAACACAATGTTAACAGTTTATGAATATAGTCTTGGCTTCTATCTGTGTCTCTATTGAAATATTAAAGCAGTGGTGGCTCGTCGTATGAAGCAACTGAGGCCGGGCCTGACTGTAAAATTTGGCTCTCACACAGTATATTTTAATATCTATTATTCTACTATTAACCCTTATTCCCTGCTAGTCCCCACCCCAGTGAGGCCAGAAATTCTTTGCTTGTAGGGGCGTCAAACTTGCCTACAATATGCTACAGTTCCCCTTCCACACGAGGCGGTTAAATTAACGTGATTTGGGGGGATTTATAGTTTCAGTTCGCGGTTAATGTACGTGTCGCATAGTACGCGGGTAGTGTCTGTCTGATGTCAGCGTGAGGAATAGTACAAAGGCTTTAAGGATAAGGACAAGGCAAGTATTAATTTAAAGTAAATAAAAACAACTTCCTTACAACAAAACAAAGTAAGACTAAATTTAACATAATTTAATAGATATTTATTATATCACGAAATACCTACATCGGTAGCTATTAATGAAACTATCTCACAATATTGTTTTATCTCCTGAAACACCCTTTTCAAGACGTAATGACATAAACTACTGATCTAAACAAATTAAAATCGCTAGCCAAAGAATTTCTGAATTAAGAAATGAAGAAAAATTTAAAAACATTTTTAATTATGCGAAAAATATTACTGGACTACTAAGTAAACGGGGCAAAAGTTGCGACGAATTAGAAATATTTTCGAAAATATGTTTCCCCTTAATTAAGTGGGAATTTACATGATTTAATTTTTTTGCTTTAATAGATTACTGGAAATTTTCCGAATATGCAAACAAATTTCCCGAAAAATCGTTTGAATGCTTATTACAAATGTATCCAAACGTTTTTGAAATAGATAGGTCGAAAAACGAACTTATCATTTTGTACAGAGACGAAAAATTTCGTAATTTAGAAGTTCTAAAACCGATAGAAATATTATACAAGGAATTTAAAACTGTATTTTCGGAAACATACAAATCGTTTTGTCCAGTTTTAACAATTCCTGCAACAAGTGTCTCGGCAGAAAGAAACTTTTTGTGTCTTAAGCGTATTGAGACTTAGAAATACGATGACACAAGACCGCTTAAGCAACTTATCAATGATGACGATAGAAAGGAGGAGGGCCCCTAAGGCCGGTTTTTTGCCTAATTTACTTTTGGCTGAAAAAAATCTGAAAAAAATTTTTTTTAGTACCTACTAGCAATACTGAATCGTTTCCACCCTAAACGGACCAACCCCCTCACCCTCCTTTCCCCCTCCATCCCCTTAAATGAGATGACACACATTTACATTGAATAAAACGAAAAAGAAAATATCAATAATTCTACATACATGTTTGTGCATAGTTGATTAGCCACTTTGAATTTCGTGATTATTAATTCATAATTGTAATCGGTGATCTAAGAAAGTTTCTATAAACAAATATTTGAGGATTATGAAGTTCTTTTTAATTTTTTTGTCTGCCGCGCCATATGGAATACGTCATTTTGAATTTCGTAATTCTGCCTTTAGATTCGTAATCGGAGATCCAAAACACCCCACTACACAAAAATTCATTCATTTTAAAGACATTTTAATTTTTTTTGTCAGCCATATTGAATCCGCCATTTTGAATTTCGTGATTTAGAGTCCAGATTCGTAATCATAGACCCAAAAACCCCATTACAAAAAAATTCATGCATTTTGAAGACATTTCAATTTTCTTGTCCGCCATATTGGATCCGCCATTTTGAATTTAGTGATTCTGAGACCAGATTCGTGATCAGCGACCCAAAAAATTCTTCATATGTAAGATTCATAGGAATTGAATGTCTTTCACATCTCTAAGTTCTTTAAAAATTCCTCTAATAAGCGATGGTTTCCCCGTCATTTATGGGAGTGGAGGGGGGAAGGAGGGTGAGAGGGTTGTTCCGTTGGTACGATTCAGTATTGCTAGTAGGTACTAAAAAAATTTTTTTCAGATTTTTTTCAGCCAAAAATAAGTTAGGCCAAAAATCGACCTTAGGGACCCTCCTCTTTATTCCTATTTATTATTTGAGAACGGATTAATAAAATATCCAAATAGTTGCAGTTTTTCTATAACATTGTAAATGCAACTAAAAATTTCCAGACACATTTAGTCATTTGACCTTGAAAATTGAAAATTTTTTGCCTGCGGCACTTATTTTTCTTTCTTGCCCACCTAGTAAAAAAGCTAAGGGCCTCAGCCTCACCTCTTCACAATATCACGAGCCGCCACTGTATTAAAGAGATTTCCTTCAATATTTTATGCCTCATTTACTCAGTGACGGAACAGTAATGAAGTGACGCGTTTGTTTTGTTAAACTCAAGTTCCTTTCAGTGTAAATACATAAAAAAGTCAACTCTTATAGCTGCCGTACTGGGTATTTTTATTATATGACCTAAATTTTACCATCTGTATGTTAATGTTTCGGTTTATGTGGTCGATTAAAGAAGAAATTAAGAGAAATCGGACTATAAACGAAGCGAGAGCCAAGAAAAATAATAAAATAGGTAAGTTGTTTCCTAAGTTCGTGTTTAAAATCCAGGTTTGTATTCCAAGTCTAATTTTTATGTTTATTTAATTACTTTAATTTTAAACGGTAAACACCCTGTAGGTACTATATGTAATTACATACTTACATTTTGTTCAGAGTTTTAAATATCCTCTTGAACGTAGTATTTTGTTTGTTTTTGCACAATTAAATTTAATACTTATAACTGTAGTATCAAATTGCGGTGTTTCTCTGTTTCCTTGGCAATCGGGAAAATAAAACCAAAATCTTGTAGGCGAGAAGATAATTTCACTTGATTTACGAGCCTTTGTTATGATTTTATTCAATTTTTAATAACGATGCAACTACAATCAAGTACTAGTTCACCAGATCCTGAACAATATGATATATTTTAGAGTATATATTATTTCGCAATTACTACTTCTCCAAGCATCTGGTAAGGTCAATCCAAATTTTCTTCTTTCTCTGCAATCGTTAACAAAATGCTTCGTTTTTTCCGTATTCAGTGTTTTTATTCTTTGATAAATCAGAATATTGTCGCTATATTTTGAAGGTGAACAGAACAACAGCAGTTCCCTCTGGGAAAAACTACCAAAGGAATGTGGAAGAACGAAGTACGATAAACAAAAAGTAAGGATCATCGATGGCGATGTGGCAGACATTGGACAGTTTCCATGGCTAGTTAGGATAGGACAAACCGAGAACGATACTATAAATTTCTACTGTGGAGGGTCCCTTATTAACAAGTATTACGTTGTCACAGCAGCACACTGTGAAGACGACGGGGACATGTGAGAGAGAACATATGAGTTTGGTCTACATCAGTACCTATTTAAATATTTCCTTTTAGAGTGAGACTGGGCGAGAACTACCTAAAAACCGACATAGATTGTGATCGACACGGTGATTGCGCTCCGCCTCATCAAGACATCAAAGTAAAACAGTATAGGTTTTTGGAATTTCAACATGATACGCACCTTAACGATCTCGGATTGATTGAACTGGAGCAACCTGCTACCTTTAATGGTAATTTTTATTTTATTTTATTTTATTTAATACATTGTTCAACAGGTACTACCCAATTATAGAACTAGGATTTTAGAGACAATAATAAAAGAAGTACAACCAAAATTAAAAGTAACAAAAAAAGATACAAACCATCATAAAAAAAGAAGGAAATAAATAAAATCTATGCACTAAATAATACACATAAATGAAGATTAAAATTACATATTTGAAACTACCAGACATTAAAAATAAAGTATTTTTAAGTCATTAAGGCTGCAGTTAAAAAAATCTACAGAATTTTTATTACAGTTGTTGCAGATTTCATAAAGTGATGAATGTTTGAGTACATTAGTGCGAGGAGTTAGTAAAGAAAATGTTCCGTTTTCTCTAGAGCTAAGTCTAGGTATAGAGAATGATAATTTGGTTATAAATTCCTGGCAGTCAGCCAAATTACGTAAAATTACAAAAAGAAAGACCTGCGAAAAATATTTCCGTCTAGTTTCAAGGCTAATAAAGGAATGTCTACTTAAAAGTTCCTCATGCGGATATCCGATTTTAAAAATCCACGCTGAATCGATTCCAGTTTATTAATGTGGACAAAACTGTGCGGAGACCACACGGGAAAGGCATATTTAAGTTTCGACCTAACGTAACTAAAGTAAAAAAGCTTTATGACATTTAAGCGTGAAAAATCACGACAGTTGCGAATTGTAAATCCATATGCTCTCGGAGACAACAGTATTAATATGATTATTAAATGGTAGTTTTTCATTAAATACAACGCCCAGGTCTCGAAATGTTTTCGGTCTTGACAAAACGTCATTATCAATGCTGTAATTAAACATAATGCGATTGAACTTGTTGGAGAAAGACATGACGTTACAATTTTCCGTATTTAACATTAACATGTTATTATTACACCAAGGAAGGTTTCGTTGGAGATGAATACAGTCATTAATGTTGCGAACTGAGCTGTATATTTTCACATCATCGGCATAAAGAAGCAAATTTACATCTAAGTTGTTAACTAAATCGTTAATGAATACATTGAATAGTAAAGGTCCAAGAATGGAACCTTGACGAACTCCTGATGTAACGACATACTCAATCGATTTGTACCTATTATAAACTATAATATACTGTTTTCTGTTGTCTAAATAAGATTTGAAGACATTCATTAAGGCCTCTGATACGCCAAACCTATCAAGCTTCTGGAGTAAAATTGAGTGACCAAGCCTATCAATCGCCTTGCTGAAGTCCGTATATATGACATCAGTTTGTAAATTGTTGTCTATAGGATTGGCTATAAATTTCGTAACACTGATCAAGTTAGTGACAGTAGGACGTCTTTTAATAAAACCATGCTGACAGGGTGTTATTAAAGATGTTATAATAAATATAGTCATGAAGTAATATTTCAAAAACTTTGCAAAAATTACATATAATGGATATAAGACGAAAATTAGTAATGTTTGATTAGATCAAAAGTTATAAACAGAAGAAGTTTATTTATCACTTTTTGAATTAAACATTTATAAACTGTGTTATTATTACCAGAACGTTTTGGCATCGCATCCTCTCATTCCTTATCACTGTCTAATAATAATTCATGGCCTTATAAACAAATTAACTAATTATTAGTCTGGACGATCCCGAGGATCTTCCAGAATCGGACTGATGTTTTTCATGGTAGATTCATAATAATACATTGAAATCTATCATTTTTTGTTTAAATTTCAAAGGACCCCGCACTAAACTTATGGGAATTGGTTCCCGGTCAAATTGGCTTAAATTTCAGTATGTTCTACTTCAGGCCATTCTGAACAAATGTCTCCATGGGCATACAGTCTGGAAATGCTCATATTCAGAGATACAGGGTCCCGAATGATTTTAAAACCCATGGACGCGCACGGGGACACTCAAAAAAAGAAAGTATATATTCATACCAAAAAAGGCTGAAAACGCTATAATCGGGGTAAAATTGTCCGCTCTTTCCGAATTTGATACTAGTTTTGAGCTACCACCCTTCTATGGGGTGGAAATGGGGGTTGAGGGGGAGGAAATCGCAAAAATAAAAAGTCAGTGAACAGTAGCATTTATAAGGGCCAGAATTGGTCAAACGGGGGACTTTTACATTCTCGGGCCTCACCCCCCGCATTCCTCTGGGGTTAAGAGGGGGTGGAATTGAGAAATTACATGGGACCTTGTTTGAACGGAGGGAAATAGTACTGGGGGGTTTTCCGGGTCTCTGATTCCATTTCTGAGGTCGGTTTTCACTTAAGGCCTGAGCAGAACCCGATTCGTGGCCACGTTTTTCTCCTCTTTTGCTTTTGCCAATGAGTGTTTGGTGTGGATGATGGTGCACAGAGTCTGGCTGTTGAAATGGACTGTTAAGTGGTCAGGGAACTGATCATGTTCCCGAAAACTCTAGGGTCTCGGAAAATCAGGGCACGGAAAATTCCAGGGTCCTGGAAAATTAGGGCCGGGAAAACTGAAATTCGGGAAACAAAAGTTCTCGGGGTTTTGAAAACTCGTTTTCGGGAAACAAGCTTTTGGGGCAGCAAGAAATTGCTCGTGGCCCGGAAAACTCTTCGGTCCTGGAAATTTAGGGACCGGAAAACTGAAATTCGGGAAAAAAACTACTCGGTCCGGTTCTTAATTTTCCAGGACCGAGCAGTCTTCCGGGCCACAAGCAGTTTCTTTTTGCCCCAAACACTTGCTTTCCGAAAACGAGTTTTCAAAACCCCGAGTAGTTCTTTCCCCAATTTCAGTTTTCCGGTCCCTAATTTTCCAGGACCGAAGAGTTTTCCGGGCCACGAACAGTTGTGCGATTCTGGAAGATGCTCGGGATCGTCCAGACTAACAGTTAGTTAATTTGTTTATAAGGCAATAACTTGTAAACTATTGAACTTACCCATTCCAGATTTTGTGTGAGTTATTAGACAGTGATAAGGAATGAGAGGATGCGACGCCGAAACGTTCTGGTAATAATAACGCAGTTTATAAATGTTTAATTCAAAAGTCATAAATAAACTTCTTCTGTTTATAACTTTTGATCTAAATAATATTTTTTGACGCTCGAGGCTAGTTTTGTAGGTCTTTTGAAGACAAAAAAAAACTTACAACTTTACTGTTTTCTCGTGGAAATGAACGGAAAAAAGTTATAAGCGAAAAACCTGAATGTACGTAAAAATTATACAATTAACCACCCTGTAAACAATCTTCCCCCCATTTTTATGACTGTGGAAAGTAATATGTCATTGTACCTAATATTTAGCATCCATAGTGATAAATTCAGCTTGCCGAAACAAAAAATCGCGTCCAACACTATATTCTGCTTCCTGGCCTAATAACACAAGACGACTTTCCTGATATACATTTGCTCCAACGTACACTATATCGAGACAACCTTTTAAGTCGGAAACTTTTTATTTTTCAGAGTATGTGCAACCCATATGTCTTCCACGTGATCCGCTCCCTCATAAAGATCTTGTATCGAAGATGGTAAACATAGCAGGATGGGGAGTGATCAATATTAAAACTTACTCAAGTGCCACTAAACTGATGTATGTAGTTATCCCTATAGCGGACGAAAAGGAATGTAATGCAATGTATCCGCATCGTCTGGCGGACAGCCAGCTTTGTATTGGATTTACAGAAGGAGGTAGGTGAATTCCTGAGATATACAGGGTGTCTCAACTTTAAATTACACAGAGAAACCACCAATTCGAAAATTGTTGGGTTCGAAGGGAGATATCGAATGGTAACCTTCAATTTGACCTTGACATTGACCTTCAAAGCCATTTGAAGATCAAATCTAATTTTTTTAATAGGAATCTCTAATTTTTACTCCGGATTCAGAGAAAGCGTAAAATTTTACGTTTAGATAGGTACTTAAGGCTCTTCTTCGTCAAGGTCAAATTGGAAGGACGCCATCCGATAACCCCAACAACTTTTGTAAGGGTTGTTTTCGGATTGGTGGCTCCCCCGAATACTCAGGTGCGTAATTTAAAATATTTTGTCCTTGAAATAACATTTGAAGGTTACTCCAAATAAGGGTCTTAATTACCTGTCTAAACGTACAATTTTGCGCTTTTTCCGAATTCGGGTTCAAAATTAGAGGTTCATTTTTAAAAAATTAGATTTAACCTTCAACTGACCTTAAACGGCATTGCCAAGGTCAAATTGAAGATCCCAACAACTGTCGTAAGGGTTGTTTTCGGATTGGTGGCTCCAGTGACGAAATATCCAGGTGCGTAATTTAAAATATTTTGTCCTTGTCAGTGTAAAATTTTGATAATTAGAATAATATTTTCAGGGAAGGACTCGTGCGGGGGAGATTCTGGTGGGCCAGCGTCCATGTCCATGAAGGTGGATGGAGAAAGAAGGCATTACTTAGTAGCACTTGTCTCGTACGGACTGACAATGTGTGGAAAGGGTGTAGCTGTTTATACGGACGTCTCATACTTTGTCACATGGATCCTAGAGAACATAGATAAAAGTTAATGTCAATAATTTTAAGGAGTATATTTTCTTCATGTTTCTAAAATCAATTAAAACAATACGGTGTTTCGTCCTTGTTCTTTCTATACCTATTTTTATGTCTATGTACATACCAATGACACTATGAATGTGGTGGTGAATTTAATAGAGTTCTCTATGTGTGAGATCAAAAAGAACTCGATCAAGACAGCTGAGGAAGAAGAAGGAACTACACAGTGATCTCATTTTGAGTACCTAACTCAAAAACACATCAATTTTATAGCCTTCTAAATATGCATAAACCATACGTACCACTTTGACCAACACTGATTGTGATTGAATCAACCACTCACCTACTTGCTTGGTAAACGCCTCATCATAATGGTTGTTCATTTATTTGCACTTTAATAATGCCGATCTCGTTTCTCCTGTTTCTAAATTCTATCATCTGTCAGAATAACTTGATCTATAAAATCATCTGCTCTGATCAGAGTAATACAAAGAACAGACCTAATTGTTCTGGGACTGTTTAGGTTGTTCACAGTATTAATGAAGAAAAAACTATTTTAAAACTTTCAATTTCATTACGATGAGTTTTCAACAAAGTTTTTTTACACAAAATGTGAATACTGGTTTAATCGTTTATTTTTTCAATAACCTTGCAATATTCGTAGTGTTATGTAATGCTTGTCGAAGGGCAAAGCTGATGGCACTGTTTTTTTAAGAAAAAAACCTCTAGAATATTAAAATCCTACACTCCATTAAAATTAAAAATCGATCGCTTATTAATAGAATTATTTTACTACTACCCACGATTTTCATGTTCAATTTATCTCTAAAAGTGTACCCAATCAACGATGATTTTCCTAGTTCAAAACATCTTAAAATCATATAATGTCGCATTAATGAGCATGATTTACATCGGAATATACATTTTGTCATGGTTCCTTCTAATAATTGGTAAAAAAGAAAGATGGAATTAATTTTTGTTGCTTACTGTTTCAACTTTCTTAATTGCTTTAAGGTGATGACAGTAGTTCTGTAGACTGGCTTCTGCCAAGACCATGCGGTAAAACTAGATTGAATACCCACAGTACATCCAGAAGTATTAAAGGCCAAAAACCTCTTCTTGGATAGTGTCCATGGATGGCCAGAATAGACTACAGCTTATATGACCAATCAGTCTTTTCGGATCATTAATCAGCAGATGTTACGGCAGCACATTGTAAATTTATACAAGCCAACTCGTGAGTGTAACCACAGACAATATAGCTTTAAATGCTTGAAATTGGCAATCTAAAATGGATGCAGGGTCTTGTGAGCCGGTTTTTCGAATTACAATTTCGATGTATTGATGTCACACACCATTGGTCCTGATTTTTTTTCGACATGCGGATTTCGGACGTTTTTCACTCGATCACCAATCAGAACCATGGGAGATTTTTAGATATTTCGAGTCATTTCCGAGGTACAAGCTGTTTCTTTTTTTCTTTCATATATTGTGACACCCCGTTCTGCCTCACCCACCGAGTGCCCTACTCAGAACCAAGGGGAGATTTATTTATATTTCCAGCCATTTCCGAGTTATGAGCAAAGACCGTTTTTTTTTCATACTTTGTGACGCCATAGCTCGATGACGAAGGCTAAAAATGCCAGAAACTCTACCCCACACTCCCTCCCTAGGTGTACTGAAGATGCTGGGGAAGCCCCAGAAACTCCTGAAGACAGCAGAGAGAGAGAGACAGAGAGAGAAAAGCCCTCTGTAAGGATAAAGTCACTTTATCTCTATCGCACACTATAACTCAATCTCTCTCGCACACAATCAGACAAAAAATGACAGAAACGAACCTACCTTTAGAAATAATAGGGATTTATCATTATCAGAATAACCCATTTTAATTTAAAAAAAAATCGGCAAATTTGTTTTGGAGGAAGAATCCCATCAACGAACACTGTAAAAAATATTATTAGAAATCTTAGGTGGCCAGAAAACAGCGCCGATCTCAGTCCTTTGGACATATTTTTGTGGGGACACTTCTACAAAATATATTATTAAAGACCTCAAATTTTCAAGTATTGAAAAAAAAATACAGGACGAAATGTTTGATAATTCTGAATTTGTTTTTATAGCAATAAATAGTAAATTAAAGCATATTTTCAACTGTATCATCACAATTACTGAAAATTTGTATAAATTGTAGGTTAATGTTATTTCGTTTTTAGGTATTCTCCTTATGTTGTTGTAAAGGTTAGTTATAAAAATCGTTGTTTGTTATTTCAATAAGGATGAATTTTGATTTTTTTAATGATTTTTTTAATTTAAACATATATTTTATGTTTATGACAGCAAATTTTGATGTCAAAAGAAATAAAGGAAAAGTCGTACTAATTACCCACCTTGTATATTAAATAAATTTATCATCATCAAATATTAAAAAAATAATATTACAACATTACGAGTTTTGTTTATTTGAAAATAACTACATAGATATTTGTTGATTCTTTAAAACATTTTCATCAATACCTACAATTAAGAAAATACATTAACGGAAAAAACAGATATTGATAAAAAAAAAGTGTAAAACAAAAATCTGTAAGTACGCCTGGCAACATTGCCAAAGTGTTGTATATATGTTGCTAGGATACGCGTAGGAATGCGGGCCGCTGCATTTGCTTCGCCTAAAATTCTGCTGGTGGTGGTGCACTCTATCGGCAATTCGGAAATTTAAAACTGCTGTCCTGTTCCAGTAGCGGTTTGGAGCGAAGCTATATTGTCTGTGCTAGGTGTTTCACAATGCAGAATTAATGTTTTAATTTAGGGTGCAGCAAGACAAAATGCGTTAGCAGCTTCCCACTTGTACTCGAAATTGGATTTTGTGAGTGGTCGTTACACAAAATGCTTGTGTAGGTATTATTCTTATAGCTTTATTTTAATTTTCAAAATATATGACCGTAAGTAATAAAGATAATAAATCTGTTTATATTGCATTTATTAATCTTATAAGTATTTGAAAAACAATTCCAATGTCAATAATCCTACAAACAATATGATTCTTGTTCAAATATACGCTTTATCAACGTTCTTTCTTGTCGCGAATGGTAAGGCTTCTTTTGATATTCTTAAAACCATTGTTATAACTAAACAATACTTACTTTAAGGTGAAAGTTCCGACACGTGGCCATTGCCAAAGGACTGTGGTAGAACTAGATTCCTTGCCAAAAAATCTAGAATCATTGATGGTGATAAAGCTGAACTTGGACAGTTTCCATGGATGGCTAGGATAGGTTCCATTATATCCAAAAAAAAATTTTTTTACTGCGGTGGATCACTGATCAGCAAGTATTACGTGATTAGTGCTGCGCACTGCGAACCACTGGTAAACGATATGTGAGTATAACTTGATTACATTTAATACACAGTTATACTAAATACACTGCTACTAAAACAAGAATATGCAGGAAACAAATAAAGAATTAAATCGATAGTTTTACTGATCGGTTTACTGATATATTACCCAGAGTTCTACGAGTTCAGTTCAAATGAAACGCAAAGCTACTAACTGCACAATTATTTTATTAAGATCATTAATACCATCATAAGGGTCGATCCAAACTTTTTAAATTTAATATACATCATTTACAAAATTAATAGTCCGGGTGAATTAGGTTTTTTGTCCGGCCTAACTCAAATTTTATAAATTTTATGGGCTTAAAATTAAGTAAGCGGACCCTCCACAAATTTAGGCTTTGATTCTGTGTATTTTTTAGTTAATTTTAAGCCCATAAAATTTGAGTTAGGTCCGATTTTTGAAACAGGCATGTGTTTGGTTTAAACTTCATGATTAACTATTGTAAAATCTCACAAGCCTTATGACTCAGTAAAAGATCAGGATTTTAATGAACTTGAGAGAAAATCTTCAGCCCCAAGCCACTAATACAAATGCCCATTTTAATAACCACAAATTTATCTCTCTATTAGGAACTTGTGTTAGTACAAACTATCTATTCGCCATACCGTAGGCTTTACCAATGAGATGACTTCACTTGTGTTAAATTATTTCAGTGTGAGGCTCGGAGAAAACTACTTGGAAACGGACATCGATTGTAGCAAGAGAGTGTGCGCTCCCCCACACCAAGACATACGAATAAAAAAATTCTTGTACCACAAGGATTACTGTTTAAAGAGTTTTGCGAATGACTTTGGTCTAATAGAATTGAGAGAGGCTGTCAAATTCAATGGTTGGTATGACTGAGCTAACACAAATACCGATGCTGTTATATTGCCAAAAGATTTTTAAATGTACATATTACCGCTCAGAAATCAGTTACTTTGTTTTTAACATGTAAAGGATGACTGTTTCAGACTTTGTCCAACCTATCTGCTTTCCATCTGGTTTACTGCCACGTGAAGGCCTTAAGAAAGAAAATGTATTGATAGCAGGGTGGGGTTTAATAAAAACAAAACCTCCTAAGGAACCAAAATTTTTGATGTACATCTCTGCCCCGGTATTAGATAATCAACCTTGCAATTCATTATTTAGAGAGAAATTGTTGAACAGTCAGCTATGTATTGGATATGACAAAGGTATGACGACTTTCGAGTCAACTACAAATACTCGCGATTTTTTCGGTACATATCCCTCATTATATCTCTTGAGAGAAAAGCACGTAACTTTGAATATTGCGACCAAGGCATTGACGGCTACATTTATTTGCTAAGTTTGAAAAATACACCAACGATACATCTTCTGAACACAACTACATATAATGTTTTTTCTTTGCACCAATCCATAAAACTTTGGTACACACATTCATAAATTTTTCGAGATTTCTTTGGGAGATGATTCAAAGGAACCTCTTTCGCACACTCCAGTATCTCCTCAGGTACACCTAAATATTCATTAGATTCCATTTTTACTCCATTGCTCGCAACAAAAGTAACACTTTTAATCTTAATATAACAATATACTTATTAAATAATTCATATTTTGAAAATATCCACTTTTCGTAGGTAAAGACTCTTGTGTTGGGGATTCAGGTGGTCCAGTGTTTAAGACCATAATGGAAGATGGGAAACCGAAGGTATATTTGATTGGGGTCGTTTCATATGGATTAGTGAATTGTGGAGCAGGTCCTGCCGTCTATACCGATGTTTCTTCTTATGTAAACTGGACACTTGACAGAATTGAAAACGTTTAAAGATTATTGTTCTTGTAAATCATAATGGAATTAGGCATATTAAAGTTTATTTTAACCGAATTACTTATTTAGAAACCACTTATTTGTTTTATAATACAGGTTGATCTTGTAACAAGTGTAAACAAAAGAGCCACTCTCTTTCAACGAGTTCAACAGGATCTTCTAAAAATAAGCACAACAAGAAGTTTTTTTGGCAAAGCCGATTTAATTTGTTCAGAATAGTTTCCTTCCGACTCAATGTAGCGATTTGCACGACCTAAGAGCATGTTGAATCGGTGTTTTGGATCGCATGCCGTGATGTCCTTCAGGGTGTCGCATGACGGAACAAGCTTTTTGGATGGCTTCTACATCCACAAAACTCTTTCCTTTCATCGGCAAATGCAATTTTCCGAAACAGTAAAAGTCACACGGTGCTAAATCAGGCGAATACGGGAAAAGGTTGACAGTTAAAATGCTATTTTAGTCAAAAAATCGGTCACAAGTGGCGATCGATGAGGCGGCTATATTCTGTTCGAATAAAACGAATACGATGCACCAAACGCGTCAAACTGCCAACATAGAATTGTGAATTAACAGTTTGACCCGGTGGAACAAACTCTTTGTGGACAATGCCCTTGAAATCGTAAAAGCAACTCAACATTGTCTTCACTTTTTACTCGCCCAAACAAGATTTTTTTGGTTTTGGTTCGTCTGGCGCCTTCCGCTCGTCACTTTGGTGTTTGGTTTCTGGATCATACTGAAAACACCACGATTCTATTACCAGTCACGATGTTGTAAAGGTAGTTTAGTTTCCCCTGGAAGCCTAACCCACTATCTTTACAAATAAGAACTTAAATCAAAATCATAATAAATGTACATTTACCAAACACGAGGGGTAGTGAATTTTCACAATCTGCATATTTGGTCACAAGAAAATCCTCATGAAATTCGGATAAGATCTTTTCAACACGAATTTTCTGTATACTTGTGGCTCGGAATAATTCGCAATAAAGTTTGTGGACCTTTCTTCTTACCACCCCGTCTAAATTCCCAGTTATTTCTATACTTTCTATAAAACCATATATTTGAATTAATAGAGGGTGTTCCATTAAATCTACGACAAAATAGGTGGATACAACGGATGGTGCTCCTGCGCATTCTGGGAGAATAATATAAGAATGGCTTAATGAAAATTATATGGGGCGATGGATAGGTAGAAGACCAAATGCCAATGTCAACCATAATGATGCAGAGGGTCCAGTGTCTTGGCCAGCCAGATTGCCATATCTAAACCCCCTGGACTTCTATGTTTGGAGTTATCTGAAAAGTAAAGTTTATTCTACTCCAACAAATACAAGACCACAACTACAGTAACGAATAGAAGACGGGTGTAATGAATTAAAATAAAACCACCACATGATATTAGCTTCAATTAATTCCATTAATAGATGTCAGAAATATATCGATGTGGGTGGTTCGCATTTTGAATAATTGTTGTAAATACGTAATGTTAATTTTGTTTCTTATTTAGTTGCTGTTACTTGGTAAATATATTTTTAATATTATTTTGATTTAAATTGTTCTTATTTGTAAAGAGTATTATGCCTCCAGGGAAAACTAAAACACGCCAGGAACACTACCTCACAGGTGGTGTAGAAAGGAGTGTAAATAATTTTGTTGATGTGCTTACAAAGCTTAAACATAAATATTCTTGTAATATTATGGTTAGAAGTGTCTGCCACAAGGGGATTGTATTGGTATGATTAACTTGAGAATGGCGAATCTTAGAGAAAAAAATTAAAGTCACCTTTTTACGTATTTTGTGCATTCGAATATAAATCAGTTACAATGACTTATAAAAAATGCAGTGGCGTAGGTTTTTTTGTAAAAAAAGTGTGACCCCTGTCCATCAGTTGTACACCACTGGTTGAACCTTTAAATCTCATATTGTAGAGAATGTAAGGCCTACTATCATACATTATCTGTACCAAATTTTATTGAGATTGGTTGATATATTCCAGAGATATAAGCAAAAAAATCAATTTTTTTAACAACTTCAACACCCTGTGTCTCTAAAACGAGGCTGTTTCAGACCAATGTTTATAAGGCAAACACATATTATTTAAAAAAAATCTATCTGCCCTCGAAGTTTCCTGCATAAAATTCTGACCACCCTGTATATGATAATTAAGCTAAAGAAATCTAAGAAAATTTGGTACACATTTCTATACTTTCTATATCACTTTTTGGCATTCAACGAAAATCTAACTTTTAATGAAGCTGATTACGATTTGGTATTTCTACTCAATAATTTGTATTTCATATTTCGATTTCTACTTTTTTATATCTTCTCACGCTACATTTGTTTTTCAATAATTGTTGGTGGGTGAAAAGCAATTATACCAAACATGCAACTATATTTATTTCTCACAATTCTGAAAAATTCATTTCAGCATTAATATTAAAAAATATGACTGGCATTAAAACATATATTTTATCAGTGTTATATATTTTCGTGTGTGGTAAGGCCTTAGTTTATATTTATAGAATTACCCTCGAGAAATTTATGAAAATTACTCGGTTATTAAGACATTTTAAATCAATTTAGCAGTCAGCTTGAGATTTGCTAGCAAAAAAATGTAAAATTTATTATTTTATTTAAGCAAAAGTTTCTACGGACAAGCAAAAAGTGAAAAAATATATACCTGATATAATAAAATCGTTCTATTGTAACGAGCGTTCAAATAAAAACGTAGTCAAGTTAGTTCTGAAAATTTAGACGTAGGGCGTAGCGTATAGCAAATGAACTTAAACGTCATCTGTCAAAGCGCCATATCGCCGCTATCAATTTGAATATTTTCGTTTTAAAAAGCGTTTAAAATGGTGTTTTCTCAAGAACAAAAAGTGTTTATCATAGAGTCCTACTTTAGAAATGGACGCAAGATTGATGGAATATGGAAGTATTCTATTGAGGAATGTTTCATAGAATTTCAAAATCAATTTCCCGGCGTTGTTGAGTACAAAATTTTTCAAAGTGCAGTTCAGCGTTGTGTTAATGTTTTTCGTGAAACGGGCAGTGTAACAAGAAAAGAAGGAAGCGGCCGACCTAAAAAGCGGACTGAAGAATTAAAAGAAAATGTCCAACAAATAATGGAAAATGCGCCAAGAACTTCTGTACGTGTTTTATCACAAATGGTGGGAGTATCAGTCGGTACCTGCCACACAGTGTTAAAAAAAGATTTGCGTTTGTTCTCCTATCGTTTAACTTGTCAGCAAGAACTTCATGAAGTTGATTTTCCGCGACGGGCTGTATTTTGTGAATGGTTTTTAAACAACTACGGTGAACTTCATAATATCACCTTTTTTTCTGATGAAGCCTGGTTTCATTTAAGTGGTTACGTAAACTCACAGAATATGAGAATGTGGTCTTCTGAAAAACCAGATAACTTTTTTGTCGAGGGCCCTCTACACGCTCAAAAAATTGGAGTTTGGTGTGCTCTCAATCGAAGGAGGATTTATGGACCTATTTTTTTTAATGGTACTCTTACTGCGCAAAGGTATAGAGAAGAAATTATCGCTCCTTTTGTTAACCAGCTGGAAGAAAACGAAATTACAAACTTTTACTTTCAACAAGATGGCGCAAGGGCACATACGGCAGGCGAGACGATGAATATGTTGAGGGAAGTTTTCCAAAATCGACTAATAAGTCTCAATGCTGAACATGAATTTCCACCGAGGTCATGTGATATTACGCCGTGTGATTTCTTTTTGTGGCCTTACCTTAAAAACACTATTTTTGAACTGCCTATTCCTGATTTAAACCATCTGCAGGCTCGACTTATAGACAAGATTCGTGAAATTAACAATACCCCGAGCATCTTAGAAAATGTCTTTAATTCTTTGAGGAACAGGTGTGAAAAGTGCTTGGAACAAGGAGGGGGACACTTTCAGCAGCTGCTTTAATTTATTGTTATAACAAGGAGGGGGACACTTTCCGCAGCTCCTTTAATTGTTTGTTATTGTTATCACGATTATTCTTTAAAATAAAGTTATATAGTCATTAACGTTATTGAAACTGACAGCTGCTATACAGCTCGTTGAGAAATGAGGTTAAGTTGGTCGCTATAAGCTACTCCCTACGTCCAATGTGTCAGAGCCAACTTCGACCACGTTTTTATTTGAACGCTCGTTATATTCAAATTCGGAAACACATATATTTTTTAAATATTTATTTATTAAAGTAAGTTCCATTTCTTTCAGGTAATCGCTCATTACAGTGGCCTCTACCGGAACAGTGCGGTAAAACTAGATTTGACCTAAGAAATGAGTTCAGAATCATTGAAGGCGAAGAAGCTTGCCTTGGAGAGTTTCCGTGGGCGGCAAGGTTAGGTGTTTTTATGGGAAAAGACAGAATAAGTTTTGTCTGCGCAGGATCGCTCATCAGTAAATACTACGTTATTTCAGCAGCACACTGTATGCGATCTAACATGTAAGTGTAATTAATACACTAGAAAAACTCCCTTGAACAATAGAGGCAGAGAAAACCACTACAAAAAGGTTCAGTTAAAAAGGTTTTGGGTTATTAAGTTCAGAGTTTTCTAGTAAAAAAAATTAGATGCGTCATCGTTCAATAAACTATTATTTATCATATTAATAAATTGGCACTTTCTGTCAAGCAATAATTAGTACCAATTGATTAATTTATTATCGGAATAATTATGGCAAATAATATTTATTCCAATGACGAATATATGTCGACATGCTCCAAGTGTTTTTCGAATCCAGAAAAAATAGTAAGGCAGCAGTAAGATTATACCACCAAAGATATCCAAACCGACCGATTCCTCTTAGACAAACATTGGCCTCGGTGGAAAGAAGGCTTCGCGGAACTGGTAAAATTCAGCCCAATCGTGAGGGTGCCGGAAGAAGGCGTAATGTCCGAACTGTTGAAACTGAGGAAGCTATACTGGAACATCTAGGACAAGACTGTGGTACAAGTACAAGACAGGTGTCCAGGCAACTGCAAGTTTCTCAAAGTCTTATGTGGAATGTAGCTCAGGAAAATCTTTTATACCCTTTTCACCATCACCCCATGTAAGAATTGAATAACCCCGATTTACCTAACCGCGTGGATTTTTGTCAATGATACACTAATATTCCAAGCATGACTTAAATTTCCTAATGAATATACTTTTCACCGATGAAGCAAATTTTCCTAGAGTAGGTGCAGTAAACCTTCATAATGTTCATTCATGGTCGGAAGAAAATACTCATGAACTATTTTTTGTTTCAAGATGTTAACATCATTTCAGTTTAAACGTTTGAATGGGAATTGTAGGAAATACTCTAGTAGGTCATTTTATTCTTCCACTCAGACTTGGACCGGCCCAGTATCTTAGATTTTTGAACGAACATCTTCCAACATTACTTGAGGATGTACCCCTCGCTACACGTCAGGTGATGTGGTATATGCACGATGGGGCGTTTGCACATAGTACACTTGCCGTTAGAGAATGGTTAAATTTAAATTACCCGAATTGCTGGATTGGTTGTGGTCGTGATGCCCCTGTTTGTTGGCCTGCACGTTCACCTGACCTAACGCCTATGGATTTCTTTTTGTGGGGACACATAAAAAGTATTGTTTATGCCACTCCAGTTACCTCCTTAGAAGAACTACGCTTAAGAATATTTCAGGCAGCAGATGACCTTCGCAATAACCAAGAACTGTTTGTGCGAGTGCGTTATAACTTCAACAGACGTATTAGGTTATGCTTGCAGCAAAATG